CCTCAGCCTAGCAGGTTCAGGAAACAGCCAAGGGGTCTGTAACTTCAGACATGAATTACTGGGACCAGTCTTCTTATAATTCACAGCATCTCCAGCTGCAAGAAACTCCTGGGCCCAGTTCTCAGACAAGGCCAAGGCAGCCATCCCAGTGGCTCTCTGGGGAGCCTGGAGGAAATTTGTTCGTTCTGCTGCATCTCAGCCAGGAGCTCATCCATCTTGAAGGTGTAGGGGCCACGAAAACAAGGGGTACGTTGTGTCCCGCAGGAATCTACCCACCAACTTACCTTCAGAAGCACTCCCAAAGGCTTGGAGACTGCCTCAAGGCTGGGACTCTGGGGGGCCGGGGGCTGGGCTGAGTCCCTCCTGCTGGGGTGGGGGGGTCTTTTCTCTTTTTACTTTATTTAACGATATTAATTATGCTTAGTATTTCAGTTCACTAATCTCAACAGCTCAGACTAATTTAATATTTAACCAATAGGTTGTACATTAAGTAATTGTATTTCCAACTGTTTATATTTGGCTTTTTTCAAATATGGCTTGTCAAGCTTGTAGTCTTTGGTTCTTTCAACATTAGCTTTTATTCCCTACTTTCCTCATTGTGATGACTAAAACATTTATAAAAAACAAGTCCTATAACTGTGTAACCTAAGTCTTAATTTTCTTATGGGAGGTATTACATGAGACATCTGCAGTCAGTTTAGGTCTTTGTTTTTTAAATTTGCTTTATGGCAAGCTGGGACACACACATGGGTTTGGCAACTGTGATCCCCACATATGAGGAGCACTTACTTCTCAGTCCATTATTTTTCTAAATGGTTTCTTTGGTTTGCTTCTCTAGCTGGAAAATTCTCATATTTTACTTTCAACTCCATATAGTAAAGATTCTTGTAACTTTCTGAGAATTTTATCTTTCTACATTTAAAATATGCAGAATCTTTTTCCAACAAGCACAAATGTCAACAGTGTACACATGAAATATATTTTACACATTTTTTTAACAGACAAGAAATCTCACTACTTTATTTAGAACACATCCTTTCCTCAACAACTGTAAAGTAATAATAATTTGTAGGGTGTGACTTTAATACGAGAAAACTGTACACTTTGCACAAATTTCTGAAATAAATGTACTCTGCTTCAGCGAACAGTACCTATTTATCACCAAAATTACTGTTTTTCTACACCACTGAGAAAACATTGGCAGAGTTACCTGAATTCAAATTTTTGGCTTCAATCACCATGCTTCCTCATTGGCACTTCCCTGAATCCATGAAAAAAATCTGAGTCTTCCATCTGAACCATAAATTAATTTTTAAAATTTCAGTGGAGTTTTCATGTGGTCAGACAGTACGTGCTGGTTACATTTTAGACAAGAATTTCAACTGTAATTTACAATGTTCAGAAAATATGACCTGCTGGGTTTCTGCAGTAATAAATTCAATGACATATTTTAGGCCTAAAACTTTACCACTTAAAATATTATATCTGATATTTGAAAATAACGGGCATCCTTCGTTTATTGGCAAAAATAGCTGCCATTTGTTCCTATGCCAAATTCACACAATTTTCCAACAAAGTTAATATTATTTATGTCCATTGAGTTGTTGGACACCAAAAAGGTAATTTCCATAATGAGCTTAATGTTACCTAATATGAATGAAAAGGTGACAGAGGCTAGGAGATGAAGTGAATAAGGAGAGGGGAAATGTTCTTCCAAGTGTGCCAAGTTTCAATTACAAGAAAAAAGATTTAATGATCAATTGCATAGAATGGAGACTACAATAAATAATGTGCATTTCAAAAGTGCCATAAACACTATTTTCAATGTTTTCATCACAAAAAAATGTGGTGATAACACTAACTTGATTTAATCATTTTACAACATAAACATATATCAAAATATTACATTTTAGACAGATACATAGAACTATTTATTTATGTATTTTTGAGACGGAGTTTCGCTCTTGTTACCCAGCCTGGAGTGCAATGGTGCGATCTCGGCTCACCGCAACCTCCGCCTCCTGGGTTCAGGCAATTCTCCTGCCTCAGCCTCCCGAGTAGCTGGGATTAAGGCACGCGCCACCATGCCCAGCTAAGTTTTTGTATTTTTAGTAGAGACGCGGTTTCACCATGTTGACCAGGATGGTCTCAATCTCTTGACCTCATGATCCACCCACCTCAGCCTCCCAAAGTGCTGGGATTACAGGCATGAGCCACCGCGCCCGGGGAACTATTATTTTTCAATTAAAAATATAATTTTTTAAAATTCAATTTTTCTTTTTCAATGAATCTTTGATTTCTTCACTTTAAACTCTTAGGTATCAAGCATAAAAATGTTTAACGGCTTAGAATAGTACCTAACACATTGTATGTGCCAAATACTATTTTGTTCAAGTTATCTTTTTTCACAGCATTCTTCAAATACAAGATTATTCTGTATATCTTGTTAAAATTTATTTTTCCATCTTATCCAAATATTGATAAAAATGGGAGGTAGGGCGTTTGCCCACTTCATACATTCCAAAATCAAAGGGCAATTTCACTAATGATTTTTACATCCTGTAACTCATTTGTCTCACACGGTAAACACCAATGTTATGTAACAGAACTATATTCATATACTTCACCCTAAAGAGAAAATTTTGAGTTGATTTGAGTACAGGACTCATTCTACATTTTTATTTCAAATCACTCCACGTCAAGTGCCTAGAATAATTTTTCATGACATACTAAAATAAAAAATATTAATAGGGGTGGATTACAAAAGTGAAGAAACATTCTATGAACTGTTTCATTATTTATATAAAATAAATATATTTATATCCCTATAACAAAAAAATTAAATATTTGTAGATAGAATAGCTCGTATAAACTGCTTAAGTTGTAAATTTAATGAACTTTTTTTTTTTAATTGAGATGGAGTCTTGCTCTGTTGCCTAGGCTAGAGTACAGTGGCATGGTCTTAGCTCACTGCAACCTCCACCTCCCAGGTTCAACAATTCTTCTGCCTCAGCCTCCTGAGTAGCTGGTATTACAGGTATGTGCCACCACACCCAGCTAATTTTTTGTATTTTTAGTAGAGACGGGGTTTCACCAAGTGGGCCAGACTGGACTCGAACTCCTGACCTCATGATCCATCTGCCTTGATGTCCCACAGTGCTGGGATTACAGGCGTGAGCCACCATGCCCAGACAATTTCATCAACATTTAATGAAAAATACCAATTTTCTCACAAAAACTTCAAGCAGTTACCTATTAGAGGTAACATTTCTTAATTCATCTGTTAGCCAGTATTACCATAATACCAAAATGAGGCAAAAGAATCACAAGATGACTAAGAAACAACATCCTAAATCTAGACACAGAAATTCTCAGAAACATTAAAAAATACAAAAACATATAAAAATGATTACATACCATGACTAAGTAAAATATTTTCACAATGCAATGCTGACTTAATATTACACAGTATTAGTTGAACTAAAAATGTAGTAATTTAAATGGAAGTCTGACAAATTCAACACCTATGAATGATAGAACAGCAAGAAAACTATTAGAAAACTTTTGAGACCTGCTAAAAGGCATCTATGAAAAACCAAAATCAGCCAGGTACAGTGGCTTACACCTGTAACCCAGAACATGGGAGGCCAAGGTGGATAAGACTGCATAAAGCCAGGAGTTCAAGACCATTCTGGACAACATAGGGAGACCCCATCTTCACAAAAAATTTGGAAAAAAATATCTCGCCATGGTGGTACATGCTTGTCCCAGCTACTCAGTTGGCTGCAGTGGGAGGATCACTTGAGCTTAAGAGGTTGAGGCTGCAGTGAGCCAAGAAGAAAAACCCCACACCAAAAGCTAATATACTTAATGGCGAATGATTGGCAGCTTTATCTGTAAGTTTGAAAACAGGATGAGAATTTCTACTTTTACCACTATTCACCATTGTACTGGAGGTGTCAGCCACAAAGTTACACTAGAAAAATCAATAAAATGCAACAGATTAGAACAGTCTTTTATTGCCATAATTTTGTATTTTTTTTTTGAGATGGAGTCTCACTCCTGTTGCCCAGGCTGGAGTGCAATGGCGGGATCTCAGCTCACTGCAACCTCTGCCTCCTGAGTTCAAGGATTCTCCTTCCTCAGCCTGAGCAGCTCGGATCACCGGCATGTGCCACCACCCTGGGCTAATTTTGTGTGTGTATTTTTAGTAGAGATGAGGTTTCACCATATTGGCCAGGCTGATCTTAAACTCCTAACCTTGTGATGTGCCCACTTTGGCCTCCCAAAGTGTTGGGATTACAGGCATGAGACACTGTGCCTGGTCCCTTTTTTTTTCTTTTTTGAGACAGTTTTGCTCTGTCACCCAGGCTGGAGTGCAGTGGCATGATCTCAGCTCACTGCAACCTCCACCTCCCAGGTTCAAGCAATCCTCCTACCTCAGCCTCCCAAGTAGCTGGGATTACAGGCACATGCCATGATGCCCAGCTAATTTTTTTTTTTTTTTTTTTTTTACCAGAGATGGGGTTTCATCATATTGGTCAGGCTGCTCTCGAACTCCTGACTTCATGATCTGCCCGCCTTGGCCTCCCAAAGTGCTGGAATTACGGGAATGAAATGTTGTATTTTAAAGGTGTGAGAAATTCATTAAAAATCTATGTAATCTCAGCACTGAGGGAGGCCAAGGTGGGTGGATCACGAGGTCAGAGTTCAAGACCAGTCTGGCCAACACAGTGAAACCCTATCTCTACTAAAGATACAAAAAATTAGCCGAGTGTGGTGGTATCTGCCTGTAATCCCAGCTACTTGGGAGGCTGAGGCAGGAGAATCGTGTGAACCCAGAAGGTAGATGTTACAGTGAGCTGAGATTACACCATTGCACTCCAGCCTGGGTGAAAGTGTGAGACTCCATCTCAAAAAAACAAAAACAAAACAAAAAAACAAACAAAAAACCTACTTGAGCAAATAAAGAAGTTCATCAATGCCACAAGATCAACATGCAAGGTTGGATAATATGTTTATATTATAGCAATAAACAAAAGAATTACATTAAAATTTCACTAATAGTATCATAGAAAACAATTATAAATTTAACAAAATAAATGCACATAATATACACCGAACATTTTAGAATGCTGAAAAAAATCAAAGAGCCGAATAAACTGAGATAATATCCAATATTCAAAGATAACAATACTGAAAATGAAGATCAAAATACCCAACAAATTTATCTACAAATTCAACGCAAATTCCAACGTAGCTTTTAATATAAATTGACAAGCTCTTCCTAAAATCTATATAAACATGCAAAGTAAATCAAACTCACAAGAATTCTGAAAAATAATAACAAAATTCAGTAGTTTACACTCTTGATAAAAATGCTTACTACGATGTTACAATAATTAAACAATATGGTACTGGCAAAAGGGCAGATTTGTGTACACCAAAAAAACAGAATTAAAGGTTCATTAATGAACAAATTAACTTGTGGTAAAATTACTTTTTTCTGTGAAAGGTGTTTTGACTGCCGGGCGCGGTGGCTCACGCCTATAATAACAGGACTTTGGGAGGCCGAGGTGGGTGGATCACGAGGTCAAGAGATCGAGACCATCCTGGTCAACAAGGTGAAACCCCGTCTCTACTAAAAAATACAAAAATTAGCTGGACATGGTGGTGCGCGCCTGTAGTCCCAGCTACTCGGGAGGCTGAGGCAGAGAATCGCTTGAACCCAGGAGGCAGAGGTTGAAGTGAGCCAAGGTCTTGCCATTGCACTCCAGTCTGGGTAACAAGAGCGAAACTCCGTCTCAAAAAAAAAAAAAAAAAAAACAAGGTGTTTTGACAGTCATTATATTTATAATGCTTTAGTTCAATATGAACTCTGATCCTGAGTAAGACATGAGCAGGTATTAAAGGCTTTGCCACATTTTTTTATGTTTGTAGGATTTTTCTCAGGTATGAATTTTCTCATGTACATTAAGGTGTGAACAGTGGTTAAAGGTTTTGTCACATTCTTCAGATTTGTAGCATTTCTCTTTTGTATGAATTCTCTTATGGTTTGAAAGGCTTGAACAGGATATAAAGACCTTACCACATTCTTCACATTTATAGGGCTTCTCTCCAGTATGAATTCTTTTATGTTCAATAAGGTGTGAGCACCGGTTAAAAGCTTTGCCACATTCTTCACATTTGTAGGGTTTCTCTCCAGTATGAATCCGCTTATGTTTAGTGAGGTTTGAACACTGGTTAAAGGCTTTGCCACATTCATCACATTTGTAGGGTTTCTCTCCAGTATGAATTCTCTTATGTAGAGTTAGGTAGGAGAACCAGTTAAAAGCTTTGCCACATTCTTCACATTTATGGGGTTTGTCTCCAGTGTGAATTTTCTTATGTTTGGCATGGTTTGAACTGTGGTTAAAAGCTTTACCACATTCTTCACATTTATAGAGTTTCTGTCCAGTATGAATTACAATGTGATTAGAAAGGCTTGAGAAGGATTTAAAGACTCTGCCACACTCTTTACATTTGTAATGTTTCTCTTCATTATGAGCTGTCTTATGTTCAAGAAAGCATGAGCAGTGCCTAAAGGCTTTCCCACATTCTTTACATTTGTACAATTTCTCTGCAGTGCGGATTCTCTGAAGTGGAGTTAGAACTGAGGATATGTAAAAGGAATTGTCACATTCTTTACAGTTGGAAGATATCTCTCCAGTATGTCTTATCTTATGTGTATTTAGATTTGACAATTTACTGAAGACTTTCACATGTTTACTACACTGAAAGATTTTGGTATAGGTAGTTGATAAAGACTGGTTAAGTCCACTGTAACATTCTTTCTGCACCTTAGATTCACCCACACTGTCCCAATCTTTCTGTAAGTGTAAATTCTCAAAGCCACAGCTTCCATATCTTCTCAGTATCACTTTTTGAAATGAATCTTTTATGCCTTGCTCTGGCAAGAGGTCTTGGGTGAAATGAGAAGAAATAGCTGAAAAAAATAAACATAAATTATCCAACTTACTAGCCTTAGGTGAATATGATTTAAAAAGCTAATCTATATAATTACACCAAACACATTAGCAACATAGCATTATAAAGATAGCCCTAATTTTTTTATGTATATAATATAACAAAACTATACTGAACAGAATGCCTTTGTGAGAACTCTAGAAACCATGTTAAAACCTATAGAGAAGAGGAAGGAACGCTTGTTACGTTTATCCACCACAATTCTTTCTTCCCCTCAACACACCATAATCACTTCAGAAATAAACTCCCAACTCCTAGCTTCTCCTTCAAGACAGAAAGTAGTGGCACATATGTCCATAGTTTAGATGGAATTTTCAGAGACTAGTTTCTGTCTCCCATGACACAGAGTGCTGAAAGGAAGTGGTAGAACAGAACCAACCTTGGAATGACAGGTTGGCTCTGCCGAGACCAAAGGTAAATAATTGTTATGGCAGCAAGGAGGCTGCAGTACCACAGACAGACAACAGGTTTAGCAAATAACTGATTATAGAAGAAGAAAGAAGAAGAAACATGGGTAAACCTCTCTAACTGGAAATTACGCATAAAGTTCCAGAGAACACACATCCTGCGAACAGGTTTGAGAGGCTCATGGAAACCCTAGCTCCAGTCAATTGGTGTCAGACTACCCAGGACAATGCCTTTTTATAACTACTGCGACAGGTGACTTTTAGTGCCCAACTCTCAACCAAAGATCGCAACATATACATTAGGGTAACATGGCTCAATCAAAACAATAAGTGAATAAATAAACAAATATCCAGAAATCAACCTGAAAAATCTGAGATAACGATCTGAATAATGCCCAATGAGTAAAATGGGAACACAGACATGAAATTAAGAAAATGACATTACCCACACAAAGATTAAAAGTATAAGAAGAAATTGAAATTTTGGAGCTGAAGAATCCAAAAAGAATAACTGACAAATTCTCAAATGTTAAAAAAAAAATTATGAAGCTTAACACATTTCAAATAGGATAAACACTAACAGACCCATAACAAGACTCATTATAGGCAGTTTCAAAAAATTACAGATGAGAAGAGAATCTTGAAAACAGAAATGGAAACGCAATGTGTCATCTGTAAGCATGCTTCTATGAGACTGCCAGAGCAAAGCTATTTTATAAACCACGATTCTAGTACTTAGAATTTTATTTTTGTGTATGTGATCACAGGGCATACAGAGAAAACAGGAAACCTGCCTTATTTGAAGAAACATATCTCCAGAAATTCACCCTTCAGGAAGGGAGATTTTCGTATTTTTTGGACAAAGAATTTAAAGTAATCATCTTAAACATGTTCAACGACCAAAAGCAGAACACATTTAATTAACTACACAAAATCAGGTTGGGCATGCTGACAAGAGCAATATGGTTTACATAAAGTAAAATATTCAGGTTTTTGCTCATTTAAAAATAAATTCTGGCTATGCACAGAGGCTCACACCTGAAATTCCAGCATTTTGGGAGGCTGAGGTGAGAGAATTGTTTGAAACCAAGAGTTCAAGACCAGCTTGAGTGACACAGTGAGACTGTCTCTATGATTTTTTTTTTTAATTAGCCAGACATGGTGGTATGTGCCTATAGTCCCAGCTACTTAGAAGGCTGAGGTGGAAGGATCACTTGAACTCAGGAGTTTGAGGCTACAGTGAGTTATGATCATACCACGGCACTCCAACAGCCTGGATGACAGAGTAAGACCTTGTTTAAAAAAAAAAAATCAGAAAAACCATGCATGAGGAAAATAATATGTCAACAAGGAGATTTTTTTTTTTAAACTATAAAAAAGAACCCAACTAAAATTGTTGAGCTGGAGAATATAACTGTGTTGAAAAATTTACTAAAGAGCTACAACAGCAGACTTAATGAGGCAGAAAAAAACATCAGCAAATTGAAGATATATCATTTATAAATACCGAGTTGTAGAAGCAAAATTTAAAAAATGAAGATGCAATATAGGACTTAATGGACATCATTCAGTAGACCAATATATTCATAAAAAGAGACTTAGAAGATATAGGTAAAAAGTGGCAAGTTTTTTCTTTTTTTTTTTTTTTTTAAAGGAAGGGGCTGAGAACTTCTAAAATGTGAGTGAGATAAAACCAAAAATATTAGCAAGAATACTTGATTTGGCCAGGCACTGTGGCTCACGCCTATAATCCCAGCACTTTGGGAGGCTGAGGCGGGTCGATCACAAGGTCAAGAGATCGAGACTATCCTGGTCAATGAGGTGAAACCCCGTCTCTACTAAAAATACAAAAATTAGCTGGGCATGGTGGTGTGAGCCTGTAGTCCCAGCTACTTGGGGGGCTGAGGCAGGAGAATTGCTTGAACCCAGAAGGCGGAGGTTGCGTTGAGCCGAGATTGTGCCATTGCACTCCAGCCCGGGTAACAAGAGTGAAACTCCATCTCAAAAAAACAAAAACAGAAAAAGAATACTTGATTAAAAAAAAATTTACCTTCAAAAATAAGTGAAAAATAGACTTCCAAAATAAACAAAAGCTGAGAATGTTTGTTGCTACTAGTATAGTCCTAAAGGAAATTATAAAAGCAATCTATTGTGTTGAAAAATAAAATGATGCTGGACAACATCATAAAACCATATGAAAATATAAAGCTCTCTGTTAAAGGTATATATTTACCTTTATATATACATATATATATATACACACACACATATATATATATATACACACACATATATATATACATATACATATATATATATATATACACACAGATGTGGAATTGTCTAATGGTACATAAAACTGAAAACTCTGTAGACTGTGAAAAACAATATGTCTCCAAAAATCTATTAATAAATGCACAATATAAAATGATATCATTTTTGACATTAATATTAAATTGGGGAATATAAAGATAAATAGTTTTTGTAGTCTACTGTAGGAAAGTTATAAGATAGATGGAAATGAGGGACAACATATCTACAAGGAACAGAAAACAATTAAAAACAAGATGGCACTAGTATTGCCATTTCCTTTAGAAATTGTTTTAAATATAAATAGATTAAAATCCTTAATGAAAAGAAAACGGCTGAATGGATTAAGAACAAACAAGATTCTAAAATATGCTGTGTACAAGACACTCAACTGTAGGTCTAAAAGAGTCAAATAGGTTGAAAGTAAAGAATGAAGAAAAATATTCCATGAAACCAGTAACCACAGTTGGGTGGTATGGCCACAATTATATTATACAAGATACATTTTTAATTAAAAACTGTCACAAAAGGCAAAGATTGACATAATGGTAAAATAGGCCCATTTACCAAAAATCTTTAAGTTTTATATACACACATACTCTACACACAAACATACATATATATGTCTTATGCATATATATGTATATGTGTGTGTGGTGTGTGTGTGTGTGTGTGTGTGTGTGTGTGGAGCAACATTTGCTTCCACATATATGAAGCAAATATTGACAGAAACGAAATAAGAAATACACAGCAACACAATAATTATAGACTTCAAAATTCCATTTTCAATAATGAATAGAAAAATTCCATAGAAGATCAATAAGAGGGCCGGGTGCGGTGGCTCACACCTATAATCCCAGCACTTTGGGAGGTCGAGGCGGGTGGATCACGAGGTCAAGAGATCAAGACCATCCTGGTCAACATGGTGAAACCCCCTCTCTACTAAAAATACAAAAATTAGTTGGGCATGGTGGCGCGTGCCTGTAGTCCCAGCTACTCGGGAGGCTGAGGCAGGAGAATTGCTTGAACCCAGGAGGCGGAGGTTGCGGTGAGCCGAGATTGCGCCATTGCACTCCAGCCTGGGTAACAAGAGTGAAACACCGTCTCAAAAAAAAAAAAAAAAAAAAAAATCAATAAGAGAACAGAAAATTTAAGTATTATAGACAAATTAGACCTAACAGACATGTTCAGAATTCTCCAGGAAAAGCAGCAGAATATTCTTTTACAATATTCTCAATTGTGTATTCATTCTGTTAGGATACAAAACTTATCAAATTTAAGAAGACTGAAATCACACAATGTATTTTTTTCTAACCAAATCCAAAATACGTAATAATTAAACACTCTTTTTCTTTTTTTTTTTTGAGACGGAGTTTCGCTCTTGTTACCCAGACTGGAGTGCAATGTGCAATCTCGGCTCATTGCAACCTCCGCCTCCTGGGTTCAGGCAATTCTCCTGCCTCAGCCTCCTGAGTAGCTGGGATTACAGGCACGTGCCACCATGCCCAGCTAATTTTTTGTATTTTTAGTAGAGACGGGGTTTCACAATGGTGACCAGGATAGTCTCGATCTCTTGACCTTGTGATCCACCCGCCTCGGCCTCCCAAAGTGCTGGGATTACAGGCGTGAGCCACTGTGCCCGGCCTAAACACACTCTTGAACGTATTCTTGCTCAAGGATCAGATGATTTTTTTTTTTTGTTAAGGTATCAGTACCAACAGTGATATACAGATTCACTGTATCTCAATCAAAATGCCAATGGTACTTCTTTTGCAGAAATATTCTCTAAATCCTAAAATTTGTTTAGAAATTCTAACTAATCAAACACCATTTCCAAAGAAGAAAAGGCTGGGTGTGGTGGCTTATGCTTGTAATCCTAGCATTTTGGGTCGTAAACATTACCAGGATAACTTGTGGCCAGGAGTTTAAAGCCAGATTGGACCCTGTCTCTATTATTAAAAAAATAAATAAATAAAAAATGAAAAGAATAAGAAGCGGCTTTACACTTCCTATTTCAAATATATTATACAAAGCTATAAAAATAATGTAGCACTGACACAAGGACAAACATTAATAAGTAGATAATGAAACAGAAGCGAGAACCCAGGTATAAATCCTTTTGCATAGAATCAAATGACCGTCCACAAGGTTGCTATGACCATGCAGTAGGGAAAGGAGAATCTCCTCAACAAATCATGCTGAAAACTGAGTACCTACATGAAAACAATTAATTTGGGCCCTTCCTTTGCATCATATGCAAACAATATTTTGAAAGGATTGAATACTTAAACAAAACTAATAAAACTCAGGAGAAAATATAGAGGAAAAGATCATCAAATTGCTCTTTATACTGTTTCCTTGGATATGAAGGCAAATCCATAAGCAACAAAGAACAAAAAACTGAACTACACCAAATTTAGAATTTCTGAACATTGAAGGAAACATTTAGTGGAGTGAAAATACCACCTTAAAAATGGGTGAAAATATTTGCCTATTAGATACTTGATAGGAGTTAATATACAGACTATATCTCTCCTAAAACTCAGTAAAAAGAATAATAATTTGATTTAAAAATGGACCAAGGATTGAACTGACTTTTCTTTAAAAGATAACACTCAAGTGGCCAACAGGCACTTGAAAGAATGCTGAAAATTACTAATTTGTAGAGAACTGCAAAGCAAAATCACAATGAGATATCACCTCATATCCATCAAAATGGCCACTATCAAAAACGAATAGAGGCCAGGCACAGGGGTTCATGCCTGTAATCTCAGTACTTTGGGAGGCTGAGGCAGAAGAATCACATGAGGCCAGGAGTTTGAAACTAGTCTGGCCAACATGGTGAAATCCCATCTCTACTAAAAATACAAAAATTAACATGGCATGGTGGCACATGCCTGTAATCCTAGCTACTCAGGAGGCTGAGGCAGAAGAATCACTTGAACCCAGGAAGCAGAGGTTGCAGTGAGCCAAGATCAAGCCACTGCACTCCTGCATAGGTGACAGAGCAAGACCCTGTCTGCAGGCGGGGGAAAAAAGGCCAACAGAAACTAATCTCTCAAGGATGTGAAGAAATGGAAACCTGTGTGCACTGTTCATGAAAAAAAATGACACCGTTGCTATTAAAAAATAGTATAGAGATTCCTTGAAAAATTAAAAATGGAATTATCATATACTCCAGCAATCCCATTTGTGATTATATATTCAAAGTATGCAACTCAGAACCTAGAAAAGGTAGTGCAGCATTATTCACAAAAGCCAAAATGCAGAATCAACTCAACTGATCAACAGATAAAAAGAAATGTGGCATATACATAAAATTGCTATTATTCAGCCTTAAAGAAGAAAATATTGTTACACTATAAGGATAAAGCTTGAGAATATTATGTTAACTGAAATAAGCCAGTACCAGTGACAGTGTATGATTCTACTTACATATAATATATTTTTTTGTTTGTTTTTTGAGACGGAGTTTCGCTCGTTACCCAGGCTGGAGTGCAATGGTGCAATTGTGGCTCACCGCAACCTTCGCCTCCTGGGTTCAGGCAATTCTCATGCCTCAGCCTCCCGAGTAGCTGGGATTACAGGCACGCGCCACCATGCCCAGCTAATTTTTTTGTATTTTTAGTAGAGATGGGGTTTCACCATGTTGACCAGGATGGTCTCGATCTCTTGACCTCGTGATCCACCCGCCTCGGCCTCCCAAAGTGCTGGGATTACAGGCGTGAGCCACTGTGCCTGGCCTCATATAATATCTTTAAGTAGCCAACATCATATAGAAAGTTAAAGGGTGTCTGTCAAGGGCTGGAGAGAGAATAAAATAGGCAGTTCTTTAGGAGTACTGAGTTTTGATTTTGCAAGATGTACAATTTCTAGAGGTCTTTTGCATAACAATGTGAATTCGTGTAACATTATTAAAAATGTACCCTTAAAGGTGCTTAACATCACCAATTATCAAGCAACTGCAAATTGAAATCATGATGGGACATTATGTCACAGCTTTTAGGATGGCTAATATCAAAAGGAAGAGACGTGTATATTATTCAAGGTATGGACAAAAGCCTTGAATATCTATTCACTATTGCCCTATCTATCACTTAAGAAAATTAATTTACACCCCATAAATTCATACAAATAAAAAGAAAAAACTACAAAAGAGATCATATGGGACATACATAAAATTGGCATTATTTAGCCTTAAAGAAGGAAATACTGTCATACTGTACGATAATAAAGCTTGAGAATATTATGTTAACTGAAATAAGTCAGTACAAGTATTGACAAGGGTGTGAAGAAAAATAAATTCTGTATATTGTTGCTGAGTTGTAAATCTGTAGAGCCATTAGCAAAACCAGTATGGAGGTTCTTAATTAAAAACTGAAAAATAAAACTACCATATAATTCCTCAGTCCCACTTCCATGTAAATAACCAAAGGAAATAATTATATCAAAAAATTCTGTACCCTCATGTTCACTGCAGCATTTTTTCACAATTGCCCAGATATGAAAACCTAAATGTCTACAGACACTAAAAAGTATACACACACATACACACACACACACAAACACGAATATTATTCGGCCATTAAAAATAATAAAATCCTGCCATTTCAACAACATAGATGAACATGGGGGAAATTATTCTAAGTGAAATAAGCCAGGCACAGAAAGAAAAATATTGCATAATCTCTTTTATAAGGGGAATCAGAAAGGGTTGAACTCACAGAAGCAGAGAGTACAAGGATGGCTGCCAGAGGCTGGAGGTAGGGAAAACAGGGGAATGTTGTTCAAAGAGTACAAACTTTCCACTCTAAGTTACATACTAGAGTACAGCATTGTGACTGTAGTTCCTAATAGCATTCTGCATGCTTAAAATTTGCTAAGATAGTTATATCAAATCATCCCATTGTACACAATACTCACACAATTTTTATTGGTGAAAAAATCCATGTTACATACATGTACATATATACACAAATGTATACACACCGAAAAATATATGAATAACAGCTCCAGTAAATTTCATACTAAACAAGAGAAAATTATAAAATGATAGTTATTATAAACTAAGGTAGCAAGAGGAAGTTAAATATATGCTTAGCACTGCTTTAAGCTACCCAAATAGATAGCATATTTAAGAAATCTAGGAAGTTGATACAGTTTGGCTGTGCCCCACCCAAATCTCAACTTGAATTGTGTCTCCCAGAATTCCCATGTGCTGTGGGAGGGACCCAGGGGGAAGTAACTGAATCACGGGGGCCAGTCTTCCCCGTGCTATTCTCATGATAGTGAACTAGTCTCAGGAGATCTAATGGCTTTCTCAGAGGTTTCGGCTTTTGCTTCTTCATTTTTTCTTGCTGCTTGCATGTAAGAAGTGCCTTTCATCTCCCACCATGATTCTGAGGCCTCCCCAGCCATGTGGAATTAGTAAGTCCAATTAAACCTCTTTTTGTTCCCAGTCTCAGGTGTCAGTCAGCAGTGTGAAAAGAACTAACATGAAGTGAACAGATACACTAAACTACACTACAATTGAGAATTTTGGGCACAGTTTAAAATACCAATCCCAGTTTATATAAAACAATAGATGTTTAATTAAAAAAATAACAGTTTCTTATATTTAGGGAGATGTCTAATGTTCTCACAAAAATCACTGAGTATACATTTCTATAGAATGACATTTCAAACCTCTACAGAATGGGAAATCACAAAGCAGAAAATATATAATATCTGTTCTGGTGTTCCTAGGATTCTAAGCCAAATCCCACTATTCTTACACATCTTAGACATCGTGCAAAAAGGGAACTTAAAAATACGTTAACAAAGAGCGTCTAAAAAATACAGATATTCCTGTGTCCCCAAAGCAGTGGAAGAACAAGCAGATCATATGGTCTGTTACAAGTTGTGAAGAGGACTTTGGCTTTCACTATAATTTTGAAGAAAGATCACTGAAGGAAAGTAGAGCCTCGAAAGAATTTAAGAGCATGGGAGAGAGGCATTCCTACGTGAGAGCAAGGAAAGAAACTCGGGCTTCTTAGAAACCATTTCCATTGGAGCAGAGCTTCCAAAACCACATTTTAAGGTCTGGCTTCCTCCCTGATCTCTGAACCTCTCATCTTTACCATCCATTTAATTTACTCCCACTTACCTGGTTGTTTGGCTACTGTCTCACATTTCTTCACACTCCATGGCTCATTCCTTTGCTCTAGACAGGTGATCAGGTCTGGCTTAGAGATAGCAATACCTGGTTTAAAAAAAAAAAAAAAAAGGACCTGTTTTATTTTTTAAAAAGTAGCATGACTCTTGCTTGGATTCTCCAATTATCAACCTAGTACTGTGTTCACTAGAGAAATGAGGACATAATAGAAGATTCTAGAAAATAAATCCCAAAATACTGTTTCCTGACAGAACCTTTAGAATATTTTGCAAGTATTTTAAATTTATGAGTCCCTAGTTTCACTACCTAATTCTACTGAATCAAAATTTGGTGGTGGCAACTAGATTTTTTAGGGTGTGGGCAACTAAATATTTTTTTAGTTGCCACGGAAAATATTTTTTCAAACATACAGCAAGTGGCAGAGCCTGTGTTTGTTTCAGTTTCAGTTTATCTAACCAGTAAACAAACATGAGAGCCTTCATTTTCCAAAGCGAGCTATTTTATGCCACTAAATTTCTGGAATTACTACTAATCTAGAGTATGTGCATCACTTCAAGAAAGGAAGGTTAATGTCAAGATAAAATACCTTGAAGATTATTTTTTCTATACCAACAAATCCCCAAGTTTTCCTTGAAAGCAGAAATCCAAAACTCATTTATGCAAAGCAGAAAGTCCCCAAAATATTCTACAATGAAGGAAATAAAATAGAAATTATGCAATGACGTCATCCTCACCCAGGGAGACCAGGTTTCTGTAGTTTTCTAACATCACATCCCTATACAGATTCTGCTGAGCGGGGTTCAGATAGCTCCACTCTTCAGGAGAGAATTCTATGGCCACATCCCTGAATATCAACAGTCCCTGGAAAAAAGAAAACACATACTTATCAAGTGTCCATGGGTAGAGTTCTTAATTTGATCCCAGGCACAAGAGAGACAGAGAGAATTGGTTCTTACTTATAGAAGAGACTGAAATTATCAAATAATTATAAACACAGAAATGTTCTCCAATGTATTCTCTAATCCTAAGAAAGAGGATGGCATAAGATGCACATAACCAGTATAAATGATCTACTTTTGTGAATAATACAGTATAAAATTAAGGGCAGCTGGGTGCCGTGGCTCAAGCCTGTAATCCCAGCACTTTGGGAGGCCGAGGCGGGTGGATCACGAGGTCAACAGATCGAGACCATCCTGATCAACATGGTGAAACCCCATCTCTACTAAAAATACAAAAATTAGCTGGGCATGGTGGTGCGTGCCTGTAATCCCAGCTACTCGGGAGGCTGAGGCAGGAGAATTGCCTGAACCCGGCAGGCGGAGGTTGTGGTGAGCCGAGACTGCGCCATTGCACTCCAGCCTGGGTAACAAGAGCAAAACTCTTGTCTCAAAAAAAAAAAAAAAAAAGAAAAAGAAAAAAATTAAGGGCATCAATACAGGCATATATATTTTTTTCCTGTTATATTTATATCACACAGGATAAGTCGTAAATATTTCTCATATGTAGAAGTCATGATTCATCAGAAGGTACCCCTCAAATTTTAATGTGTACACAAGAAACTAGAGATCTTCTGAAAATGCAGGTTCTGATTCAGAAGACCTAGGGTGAAGCCTGAGTTTCTCAATTTCTAGTAAGCTATACAGTGAAGCCAATGTCTGGCCCAAGGAAAATATTTTTTCTCAAACATACAGGAAGTGGCAGAGCCTGTGTTTGTTTCAGTTTCAGTTTATCTAACCAGTCAACAAACATGAGAGCCTTCCTCTTCCAAAGCGACCTATAACCAAGGAGAATCTAAAAAGAAAGAAGAGCTTCCTAATTAAATGTGATGATGCTTTATACACGTCAGTCAGTAAATCTCCCCAAGGTACTAATAATAATGAGAAAAATAACTCTACAGTGGAAAAATCTGATCAACTATAGTAGGATAAATTGATATCAAGGATCACACACAGGAGGACACAAAATCACTGCTCTAATATTATTGGCCAGAAAAATAGTAAATTACAATCTGAACCTAATCATGTAGCAACATCTGTTTTTTTTCCTTCGTTTTCTGAGACAGAGCCTTGCTCTGTTGCCCAGGCTGTAGTGCAATGATGCAATCTCCACTCAGTGCAACCTCTGCCTCCTCGGTTCAAGTAAGAGGCACCTCAGTCTCCCAAGTCGCTGAGATTACAGGTGTGTGCCACCATGCCCAGCTAATTTTTGCATTTTTGGTAGAGATGGGGTTTCATCATGTTAGGAAGGCTGGTCTTGAACTCCTGACCTCAAGTTATCTGCCCACCTCGGCTTCCCAAAGTGCTGGGATTACAGGTGTGAGCCATAGTGCCTGGCCAGAAATATCAGTTTTATGCAAAGTTCAAGCGATAGATATTTCCCAGGTTCTTTAATCTCTAACAGTGGATTTTAAAAGTGTTTCTTTAGTATCCTAAATGGGATACTCTAATTATTCTCTTTTCAGAACTTTTAAGTTATTCCAGGCAATTAATGCCATCGTCCTTAAATGTCCCTTTTCTTAATTCTGTTCTGCATAGAGCTGATAGAGCAGGTGGATGAAATCTGAACAGTACATAGTCCCCTTCTTCACTGATACCCTAAGACCCAACCCCATCCCCAGTGGGAATCTTGGGCATCCACACTTTCCCATGTTGATCTGTCACAGAACATTTTTAATACTGCCCATCATACATTGATGGTGAGATTTGGTCATGACATATAAGAAGCCTGGATGGAGAGAATGGAGAGAAGATTCTGGTATATAGGAGGAAGGATTTTACAGAGCTCCTTGATTAACAATCTTAGGGAAAAAAAGGGGGAAAAGTAGTTGGAAAAAACGTATTAGGCAGGTACATCAGAGTACAGAAATAAAGATTTGCAAGTTCTCAACACATGACATTCCAGAAGAAAAAGAGGACACATCCCCTGAACCCGGACACATTCACCTGAGAACCAGCCATTTCTTCCTCTTCTTCCTTCTTCGCTGGGATTCCTTCTCAGGTGAGATTATCTGGACAAATCACACCTGCATTTGAGAATATGCCTTTAAAGGTGTCAGCACAACCTTTTCACCTGCAGCCAGCACACCTGCAGGCGGAAGGCCCTGAAGCACAGGACAACCTTTTCACCTGCAACCTGCATACCTCCAGGCAGAAGGCCCTGAAGCACAGGACAACCTTTTCACCTGCAGCCAGCACACCTGCAGGCGGAAGGCCCTGAAGCACAGAAGAGGGCACACTCCTTTATTCTTCGTCACAGGAGGGAGGAAAAAATGAGCTCCCACACAAAGACCAAACATTTCCTGACTTCAGGTGATCTCCCCTGCCATGAACTCCCACGATTAAGGAAATATGGACCTTGGTGACCTACCCCTACCATACCCAAGTAGAACAGGTCCTCTGACCTCCTTTTGGAACTAAAGTCCCGTGACTGTATCTGGGAGCCCTCAAGCCTGACTCTGATCTCACCTTAGAATCATGGCGCGGGGCATTTCCTTAAAACAATGATGCCTCCATCCAGACCACAGACAGGATCTTTGGAGAGGGTATGCATGATGGTAGTTCTCTAAACTGGCCATGTGATTCTAATTGGAAGCCTGGGCTGAGAACTACGAGCTGAGCACTGTCTCTCAGGCTTCAATGTACATAGAAATAAATTGGTATTCTAATTTGATATTCCAGGACCCTCTAAGTAATGTTTCTGCAGGTGTGAAAGCAGTCTGTAAATTGGCTTCCTTATCAAGTCTTCTGATACTGTTCCCCTTGGACTCCTTATCAGCAACACTCAGCTAGAGAAGGCAAGCACAGCACAGAGTTCCTTCCCAACACTGGTATCATAACACAAATGCTTCTGACTGCAAGTGAGGACCACCAACTGCCATCCTAAAAGATGGCATTCTATGCTGAACCTTCAATGTTTACTATAGTCTAGGGAAGGCAGCAATGTCTGAGCAAGTCTGCACTGGGAAAACAACATGGACATGCACATTAATGCAATGTTTATGGAACATATACTACATGCTCAAAAGTATGTTACAGAGGACCGTGCTGAAAACGTAGTAACAAGTGAGGTAACTCCTCTAACACCCAGGCAGGTGGGTACTAAGGGTTCCACAATCCCCAGGATTTACATGAAGGGTCCAGCTTTTTTTTTCCTGTTTCTCCATCACTGATTTTTAGGAAAAATAATGTATGGAGTCATTTTTTTTTTTCTAGAGATGGAATCTGCTCTGCCACCCACGCTGGACTGCAGTGGTGTGATCTTGGCTTACTGCAACCTCTGCCTCTGGGTTCAAGTGATTCTCCTGCCTCAGTCTCCAGAGTAGCTGGGATTACAGGCACCTGCCACCATGCACAGATAATTTTTTGTATTTTTAGTAGAGATGGGGTTTCACTGTGTTGGCCAGGCTGGTCTTGAACTCCTGACCTTGTGATCCACCTACCTCGGCCTCCTAAAGGGCTTGGATTACAAGGGTAAGCGACCATGCCCTGCCAGAGCAGCAGATTCTTAACCCCGAGGAGGTATCACCTGTCCCTAATTAGCTAAATCTTGAGTCAGAGAAAGGACAATACTGCTTCCATATCGACTTTATAGATGGGTGTGGCTGTGACCATGGCTCTGCATATTTTGTGGCCCTAACCTTCCACTGCTGAGGTTCTTGTTTACATTTACAGATTCTGTCACCAGGCTCTTGTTATACCAGGAGCTTCTCACACAACTGTAACAGGTCCCTGGATTTGGAATACTCAAAGGGTGCTACTCTGAAAATGGGGCTTTAAGATGTCTATGTTGGCCAGGAACAGTGGCTCATGCCTGTAATCCCAGCACTTAGGAGGCCGCGGCGAGAATAGCATGAAGCCAGGAGTTCAAGGCCATCCAGGGCAATGTAAGTGAGAGCTCATCTCTACACAAAATAAAAAATAAAATTTGCCAAGTGGTGGAGTTTATCCCTGTAGTTCTCGCTGTTGAGGAAGGACAATTACTTGAGCTCAGGAGTTTGAGGCTGCAGTAAGCTATGAATGTGCCACTGTACTCCAGCCTGAGTGAAAAGAGTGAAACCGTATCTCAACAAATAAAGTTAATAAAAGCTTTAAAAAAGGGGCGAAGAGCAAAATTTATTCTCTTATTTTCTGTTGGGGAACTAAGCCTCTTATTTCTAGCTCCTTTCAGTAGAAAGAGCTCCTTTCATACTTGGAGTGTACGGACACCTACAGGGAGAGGCTCCCCAGGAAGAACTAACTGGGCTTCAATGACCTACCACAGCCAAGTCAAGTTCAAATATTCATGGTCTTGAACTCATGGATACTTGAATTTCAGTAGATCTGGATTCAGGTACTTGAGGGGGAGCCCTGGACAAAGTGTGCATATCAAAGAGGGTTTGTGGGAAAGAAAAAGCAGAGAAGTGCTATCATGTACTCATGTTAAGTACTCAGCACAGGGTTAGTAAAGAAGCAGTTTGTGCTACAGATACTGGCCCAAGTCGGGTATGCTCCAGCTCGTTCTTGTGTCCATGGAGGCAGATGAGATTAGTCATATAGTCCAAAAGCCGGGTGGGGGCGGAATGGAGGGATCGGGTTGCTGGGGGTGGGGATAGGCCAGGAGTCTTCTAGGCAACCATGTGGGTTTTTTATGGAAAACTCTCAAAGCAAAGGTGTTGTGATGGGACTCCTGAGGGTGAAGCCTTGTCCTGGAAGGGACTTAGCCATGTTGGTGCCTAGTGGGATGTTTACAAGTAGGTGAAAATCACGTAGTGGCGGCAGAGTGAACAGAGGGGTGTGTCTGCAGAAGGCTTTGCTTCTAAGTCCTCAGTCCTCTCTGACCCTGAGAGGAGAACTGGAATCAGAGGAGAATGTGCGACGTGTGTGCAGGAGAACAGAACCTCCCATTCCTGAGACACCCTGAGACGCCTCCAGCCCAGGCCACTGTGATGTCTTTTTTCTGACACCAAATGTGTGGAGTTGCTGAACACCAACAGGGTGTCCAACAACTCAATTCTCACACCACCCAAACTCAGCACAGACCCCACAGGTTCAGGACTCAGTCCCACAATACTGCCGCCACTGCAGAGGCCAGTCACATGTCCCTGGGGCCCACCAATACTTCTGGGTTACTGCTGTATCTCAGAAACTCCCAGAGCTGGGTGCGGTGGCTCACATCTATAATGCCAGCACTTTGGAAGGCCACAGTGGGCAGATCACCTGAGGTCAGGAGTTGAGACCAGTCTGGCCAACATGGAGAAACCCAGTCTCTTAAAAAAAAAAAAAAAAAAAAAGAAAGTTTCAAATAGTTTTATTTGATAGAGCTATTCACAGAACTCAGGAAAACACTGTACTTATGCTTACCAGTTTATTATAAAAGATACAACTCAGGAACAGTCAAATTGAAGAGCTGAATTTGGCAAGGGAAATCGGTGGGCAAAGATGGCAGGTAAATAGCTGTGATTAATGAAATCCTTCAGCTCTGTGTTCTCCAAGAACAGCTTAATAAAAAGCAACACGTCTCTCATGATAACTTAGATGATGCTCCCTCTTATACCTGTCACAAAGCCAGGTACAGATAATTCCCATTTCTTCCCTATAACCAGTCAGCTCAACACTTTTGTCTTCAGTTGTTAGAACAAAATACTTATTAACCAAACTGCTTAAGGTTCTCTCCTTTCTCCCAGGCCCCTGAATTTGTACCACCATCTGCTTGAGCTAACATCTAACTCCTATTTACGACCCTCCTAAGAACAGGCCACTTTGGGAGTAAAACTTTTTCTCATTAGGATCTGATGTGCCACCTGCATCGGGTCCTCTCACTCTCACCTTCCTTCTACTCTGCTTTGTTCCTCCGTACGAAAGAAAGCCCCTATCTGCCTAAGCTTTGAGATCCTGGAAGATACCATAGTTGGTGCTTTCCCTCTGTTGTAACACTCCTTTAGAATTAAGGAACTTCTTACCTAAATGTGAATTTGTTTTATTTGACAAAGTCTAAAAACAGCCCCAGAACAGTAACAGTTCCATCCTCAGAAAGAGCCTCCTGACTCCACTTCCATTCCCACCCAACGGCACCCACCTGTGGATCCCAGCTCTCCAGGGCTCTATGGCTCCTCTCACGCTGGGGTGTGCAGACTGGGACACCTGCAGGGGAGGCTCCCCAGCAAGAACTCTAACTGGGCCTTCAATGACCTTCTTTTGCAGGCTCAAGATTGGCCTTAACTTAAGAGTCACTGGGCTCAGACTTCTATTTTCCAGTCAGGTTTATTCACTTAGTTTTAATGAGAAAATGCCCAGTGTTTGAAAAATCCAGCAAAACCACTCAAACACAGTGTTTATCTAAGAGAATAAAATTATAAGGCACCTCTATTTTATACCTCAATAGAGACAGCAAAAGCGTCTATTAGTTTCAGACAATAAACACATCAAATTATTTCCATAATTCAAATCACTTAGTAGACACACATATGAACATATCTAGGAGATGCCAAGTCCCATCCTCTAAAATTCAGTATTAAACTTACACATCTAAATAACAGAGATATCAACTCCACAAATTCTCCACCCTTTAAAAAAGAGGAACTAATATTTTGATGAATCAGTGTAATTCGCCAATTAATCTACTACATTTATTTTGTGGAAATGTATTCATTTCCTACAGCCATACTGGAAGAGAGATTTTCCCTATCACTTTCCCTGGTAGCATTCCCACAGCTAAGCCCTGGGATTCTGTTTACAATCACCCTCCAAAAAAGAATAGGCCTGACAAGCTTACTACACTCACTCTAGTGAAGAAAAAGGTAACTCAGTGAATATTTCACTATATATTGAATGTCTTTTCTGAAATCTGCCTCTTAAACATTTTCTTAATTTTGAAGCTCTACTGTTAAAATGCAATAGACAGTTAATAAAAAAAAACTAAGGTTGAATTAAGTGGAAAAAGTTTTCAAGGTGTAAAATCCAGGAAGTGGCAATGCTGACTGGAACACAGACAAATCTGACTCAAGTGCCAAGTCAGGCCATCCTATCACTTGGGACGTTCTTCTGTTTCCCCACTGCCCACTGAACAACTCAATGCCCACCTTCCCTGCTTGCCCAGGAGCCACTATATCGTGTCCCACTGTGTGCCCCAAGAGGTTTGGCTTTGCAGATTCTTGCACCGCCTCCCTGGAGTGGGTTTTCCTTGTCCTTTGGAACATTTTTTTCCCCTTCACAAGTCTGAGAGGATCCAGATGTCAGAAATCATTTGTCTTTTCCTCTCAATATCGGCATCCGACTGGCTGACCAGCAATGTGTCTCCAAGGAACAGAGAAGCTGGAGTTGGGTGAAGACAATCTTAACTTCGAGGTTAGCTTTGTCAACTAAGGGTAGAACGAGATTTCTCTCAGCCCCAGGGCATCCAGCTGCTCCCCTAAGAGGCTCCACCTGCATCACTGAGGTTGTCCTCTGGGAGGAAAGGAACAAGAGGTTAATATCCACTCAACATTCCCTGAGCCAGGACTGCTGGGGGCATCCTGGGCCATACCCAGGCAATAATGAAACCCAGGCACAGAAAAAGACTTAAGTGTGTGTGGGGACACATTACCTTGTAACATTTCCAAAACAGAACCTCAAACCAAATACATTCTGATAAGGTGTCTGTGCCTGGGGAAGATAAAACAAGAGGCACAAAGATTTTTTTTTTTTTTTTTTTAAAGCAGAGTGTCAGGAGATTCTTCTCTGTTCACATAAAATGTCTCCAAACAGAAAACAGATGTCTAAAAAAAGTGCCATCCAATGCTCTGTGGAAAAGTGACTAAAATATTGTGTGTGAAAAGTACAATAAAGGACAAAGAGGCTGGGAAGACAGGACGGTGAATGTGAGGCCCTGCTTGCCTGCTCGCCACACATTTGCATACGCAGTGGAAACCAGTCCCCCTCTGGAGTGTTTAAAATCATTAAGTAGCAGTCAGTATTAGACCCAAGTAGCACTAGTGCCATGGGTTCCTAAGGAGAGAAATCTATCTCAAATACACGTCTTGTAAATTACTACCTTAGCGGAAAACGATATTCAGGCTGAACCAACCAAACCTCCAATAACCTCTCCTTACAGAAGCAGGAAACTTCCACCTGGACAGTCCCAGCGAGGCGCCTACCTAACTGCACCAGGTTCTGAACGCGGTTCGCTTCCTCACGCACCGTACGAGCCTTTGCTCCAGGCACCCGCAAACCCGGCTGGGCGCTCTGCACTGATGAGCAGTTCCTTGCTCAAATAAACTCTTCAACATGTAAACCGCGACTCCCTTTTCGTGTTTCCCAGGGGAAAGGAGGGCCTGGGACCCACAGCGCCCCCACGGTGGCTCCTCCTGGGTCGGGGCTCCCCCAGGTTCCTCCCGTCGCCACCGCACAGCCACGAACGCACAGCTGCCTGCGACGGCCCCGGCCGGGCGGAAGTCGCGCACTGAAGCGGACCGGACGCGGGGCGCGGCTGGCGGCCCAGCCCACATCACATCCTGCGGCCAGGAGAAGCCGAGCGCCGGGCGGGGCAGCCGGGGTATCGGGTCCGCAGACTCCGGAGGGAGATGTGGGGAGGCCTAGGGCCGTCCAGCCAGTTCCAGCCGTTTCCATCAGCCCCGCCCCACCTCGGGACCCCGTGCATATACCCACCATTTCCCAGCTTCCCGGCTGTCCAGGCCTCTTAGCTATGGATCTCCTGATACCTGCAGGACACAGGGCAAGAGCTGTGGCGGCCACCTGGGCGTCCTAGAGCAGAGCACGCGGAGCACAGACGCCCGCGCGAGGACTAGGCGAGACGAAGGCACCGCCACATCCCGGAAGCCGCGCCCTTCTGTCCGGCTGCGCGCCTGATTGGACCGTTCCCACGTTAGCGTCCCTGATTGGATAGGACTCCAGTCCCCGCCCCCTCAGGCCCTGAGTGACGGAGGGTGTGATCAGACGCTGGGCTGACGGCGACAAAGTAACAGGTTCTTGGCTTCAGCCTTTTCATGGAGGGCTTCCTGGTTGCTCTGGGTCTCGTCCAGCCCAGGGAGTATTTTCCTTTAACGTTTGTATAAGGTTATATTCATTCATAAATAATAGACATACGTAATTCGCAAATGAAAACAACAGAGTGGGAAGGGTTTTAACATTCAGGTTTTAGGGCCTTTCTGGCCTCTGGTCATTTGATCAGGCAGCCTGAAATTTCATAAAGGAGACAGTCCTTTAAGAAATAAAATGTAAGCCACGTGTGAATTTTAAGTTTCCTAGTAGCCACCTTTAAAACATTAAAAATAACAAGTGAAACTGATTATCATTTAACCTAATATATTCAAAATATTATCATTTAAATATATAATCAATATATGAATGAACTGTATAATTTTCGGTAGTCAGTCTGTGAAACTCACTCTGTATTTCGTCAAACCTTTCCAGCACGTCTCAGTGCAGCCACATTCCAGGCCCTCAGTACCCACACATGGCCAGTGGTTGTCACACTGAGCGCAGCTCTGAGGGAGGTGAAGGGCCTGAACCTTCACTTCCTTCCAGAAGTGAAAGATTGGTACCTCCTTATCAACATCTCTCCCCAGGCCAAAGGCTGAAGGGACAGTGCCCTAGAGAGAGAGCAAGGGCTGGTAGACCACTGCTGCCCCCCTGCTGTCCATCTTCCTTCCAAAGATCAGACAGTGAAAAAAGAACAGTGGAGCCCCAGGAGGACTTAATACCAAGTCTTTAGGTCAGTCCACAGCTTTGACTTCCAAAGTTTAGATATAGAAAAAATAGATAAAACAAACTTCTTATACTGGTATTTGGCCTTGGCCCTAATGAACAGGCTATCGGTTGTATTTTTCCTCCTATGGTGTGGGAGACTGGGTGAGTTTACCAATCACATGTACACAGACATGTGGACATATGTGTCTCTACATAACTCATCACCGTCTAACGAGATCCAAATTTAAATAAAGGGAAAAGAAAATCAATACCTATAGGGTGCCTACTGTTTGCACATAACTAGTAATCAGTCTCTCATTGAATTTTGACATCCTGTCTGTATTGAGTGTATGTATTAGTTAGTGATGCCTAACAAACCACCCAAAATTTACTAGCTCATGATTCAGCTGGTCAGCAATTTTAAGTTTAGCTCAGCTGGGCAATGCTTTTGGTCTCAGCTGGGATCCTTCAGACGTGTGGTCAGATGCTGATTGTAACTGTTTCTAGGGGTGAGTTGCCTGTCAACTGGGGCACCTTCATTCTTCTCCATGTGGTATCTCATCCCCCAGCAGGTTAATGTGAGCTTATTATAGAGATAACAGGATTCTGAAAGAAAAACAAAAGCACTCAAGAATTTTTGAGCCTAGGTCCCAAACGAGCACACTTACGTTTTCTGTTGACCAGTGCAAATAAGACCAGCCAGATCTAAAACTTTTGAAGTACAGATTTTGCCTCTGAAGGGAGCAGCTATAAAAGCACATTGCAAAGGGCACGTATGCAGGGAGGAATGAAGAATTTTTGCAATCAGTTTCATTATGCCTTTTCTTGCAGATGAGGTTTATATAACTGTTCCAAGGCAAGAAACTTCCAAAACCCCATAGCTACTAAGCAGCTGTGTTGGAATACAGACTCAACTCTGACCAACTCCAAAGCCTATGTACCTCCATAGACCAACCACACTACTCATGCAACTTCCCTGGTTATTCGAGGTTCTAGAGAGTTAACACTTCTGCGGTAGAAGCAGAATCCTTTTGATATTTGTGCCCATATATTACTGTTTATCACTGGCATAACCCCTCAAGAAACTGCAGAAGCATCTTGGAAGGATATGGAATACTTAAGAAAATAGCTGGGGAATGAATTTAGGAAATCAAAGCCAAACAACATATTTATTTTTCATCATAGGAGACTTTGAAAACATATAATGTATTCCATATATCTGCAAATTCTTTTCATTTTTGGGTATTTTTAGGCTGCTTATGATTTTTAACACAGACTAAAACACTATGCCTGAAATAACCTCTTATTCTGGAAGCAAGTGACATAAAGATAGGTCTGCTGATAAAGACATTTTCTTCTGCTGCAACTTAGCAAAATATCTGAGTGTGTCTTAAAGTTATCCGTAGAGTTTTAACAGGGCCAGTTCATAGGCAACAGCTCAGAAGCATATGTGGTCCCCCAGGGCTTGTGACTGGCATCTGGGTTGTTAAGACTTCTTTTTTATTTTCACTAACAGTTCTTTATCAACAATGTCTTTTGCAATTGTTAGTTTCATTCAGCAGCTTGTCTTTTGCTTGTCTTAACAGTATCTTTTGCAAAACAAGACTAAAGTCCAATTCATCAATTTTGTCATTCATGAATCATGCTTTTGGTGTTGCATCTGAAACCTTATTGTCAAACCCAAGGTATCCTAGAGTTTCTGTTGTCTTATCTTCTAGAAGTTTCAAATTTTGCATTTCACATTCAGGGTTTTTATTTTTTTCTCTTTTTTTGGACACTATTTACCCACTGAACATTTACGTTTTCTATTCATTTTGAACTAACTTTGTGAAAAAGGCAAGGTCTTTGTCTCATTTATTTCTCTGCATATAGATGTCTAAGTGACAAGCAGTATTTGTTGAAAAAACTACTTTTTGAATTAAATTTCCTCTACTCCTTTGTCAAAGATCAGTTGACTGCGTTTTGTGGGTTTATTTCTGAATTTTCTATTCTGTTCTATTGATCTATTTGTCTATTCTTTTCCAGATACCACACCATCTTGATTACTACAACTTTATAATAAATCTTAAAATCATGTAATATGACCACTAGAAATTTACTCTTCATTGTTTTGTTAACCGTTCTGGATTGTCTTTCCATATAACTTTTAGGGTTAATGTTTCATTATTGACTACATAACTTTTAAAGAGTTTTAATGGGATTGTTTTGAATCTATAATTCAAATTGGGGCAAACCAACATCTTTTTTTTTTTTTTAGATGGAGTCTTGCTCTGTCGCCAGGCTGGTATGCAGTGGCCCCATCTCCACTCACTGCAACCTCAGCCTTGTGGGTTCAAGCAATTCTCCTGCCTCAGCCTCCCAAGTAGCTGAGATTACAGGTTCCCACCACCACACCCAGCTAATTTTTGTATTTTTAGTAGAGATAGGGTTTCACCATGTTGGCCAGGCTGGTCTTCAACTTCTGATGTCAGGTGATCCACCCACCTTGGCCTTCCAAAGTGCAAGGATTACAGCTGTGAGTCACTGAGCCTGGCCACATTCTTTTCTTTCTGATTGAAGTAATCCCTTCAGCATTTCTTGGAGGACAGCCTTGGTGTTGATTAAATCTCTCAGCTTTTGTTTGGGAAAGTCTATATTTCTCACTCCCAAACATTCTTCATATATTTTTGCCAGATATACTACTTTAGGGTAAAGGGTTTTTTGGGGATTTTTGTTTTTTTCTTCAGCACTTTAAATATATTATGCCATTCTCTTCTGGCTTGTACGGTTTCCACTAAAAAGTCTGCTGCCAGACGTATTAAAGCTCCATGGTGTGTTGTTTCCTTCCTCTTGCTTCTTTGAGGGTCCTTCAGCTTTGTTGAGGACCTTTGGGGTTTGATTATTAAACACCTTGCGGTTGTCTTCTTTGTGTTAAGTCTGCTTGATGTTCTAATATATAACCACCTTTAGTGAATATGGTATGTTTCTCTAGGTTTGGAGAGTTCTGTGTTGTTTCTCTTTCTCTACCTCCTCTTAATTGCCAACAATTCCCAGATTGGTCCTTTTGAGGCTATCTTGTAGGTGTGCCTCATTCTTTTTTATTCTTTTTCTCTTTAGTCTCCTCTGTCTGCGTATTTTCAAATAGTCTTTCTTTATGCTAATTCTTCTGCTTGATCAATTCTGCTATTAACAAACTCTAATGCAAGTTTTAGTATGCCAGTTGCATTTTTCACCTCCAGGATTTCTGCTTGATTTTTAAAAATTATTCCAGCCTCTTCATTACATTTATCTGATAGAATTCTAAATTCCTTCTCTGTGTTATCGTGAATTTCTTTGAGTTCCTTCAACACAGCTGTTTTGAATTCTCTGTCTGAAAGGTCACATATCTCTGTTTCTTCAGGACTGATCTCTGTTGCCTTATTTAGCTCATTTGGTGAGGTCATGTTTTCCTGGATGATCTTCATACTTGCAAATGTCTGTCTGTGCCTAGGCATTAAATCAGTAGTTATTTATTATAGTCTTCATAGTCTGGGCTTGTTACCATTCTTCTTGGGAAGGCTTTTCAGATATTCAAAAGGACTTGGGTGTTGTGAGCGAAGTTGTATCTGTTTTAGGGGGCACCCTAAGTCCTCTAATGCTGTGGTTCTTGCAGACTCATGGAGGTACTGCCTTGATGGTCTTGCACAAGATCTGGAAGAATTCTCTGATTTACAAGGCAAAGACTCTTGTTTTCTTTTCTTACTTTCTTCTAAACAGTCTCTCTTTCTGTTCCGAGCCACCTGGAGCTGGCAGTGGAGTGACACAAGTACCCCTAAGTCCACCCCTTCTAGAGCTGTGCTGGGTCAGTCCCAAAGCAAGCATAGAGCTGGGTCTCACCCACGGCCTGCTGTAACCCCTTTCTCGCTACAGCCTTTGTTTGCTCAAAGCTCTGGGGCTCCACACTCAGCATGTGGCAAAGCCAGCCAAGCCCATGTTTGTTTCTTCAGCATGGTAAGCTACCCCAGGCCAGGAACGTGTCCAGAGGTACCATCTGGGAGGCAGGGACTAATGTCAAAAACCTTAGAAGGCCACCTAGAGCAGCTCCACTCCTGTGACTTTGCAGGATTCATCCCCAGTGGCTGATCTCACGAACTGGTGATGATTGCCTGTAGCTTTTCCAGACACAGGGAACAAGCTGCCAGTGGATCCACTATTCCTGGGTTAACAGAATGGTGGCCCCCTTCTTACAGCTCCACTAGACAGTGCCCCAGTGGAGACTCTGTGTGGGGGCTACACATTTCCCCTCCATAGTAGAGGTTCCCCATGAGGGATCTGCTCCTGCAGCAGGCTTCTACCTGAATACCCAGGCTTTCCCATACATCATCTGAAATCTAGGTGGAGGCTCCCAAGCCTCAGCTCTTGTACTCTGTGCACCCACAGGCTTAACACCATGTGGAAGCCACCAAGGCCTATAGCTTGCACCTTCTGAAGCAGTGGCCTGAACTGTGCCTGGGCCTTTTTGAAGCAAAGCTGGAGCTGGCATGGCTGAGATGCAGGAAGTTGTGTCCCAAGGCTGTGCAGGGTGAGCCCTGGTCATGGTCCATGAAACCATTTTTCCCTCCTGGGCCTTTAGGCCTGTGATGGCAGGGGCTCTTGCCAAGGTCTCTGAAATACCTTTGAGGTCTTTTACCTATTGTCTTAGCTATCAGCACTTGACTTCTTTTTACTTACGCAAATTACTACAGCCTGCTGAATTCCTCCCCTGAAAATGGGCTTTTCTTTCTTAATTTCTTCTTCTACAAAAAAAAGGGATATATTTGCAGAATGTGCAGGTTACATAGGTATACGTGTGACATGGTGGTTTGCTGCACCTATTAACCTGTCTTCTAAGTTCCCTCCCCACACCCCACAGGCCCTGGTGTGTGTTGTTCCCGTCTCTGTGTCCATGTCTTCTCATTGTTCAACTCCCACTTAAGAGTGAGAAGAAGCAGTGTTTGGTTTTCTGTTCCTGTGTCAGTTTGCTGAGGATGATGGCTTCCAGCTTCATCCATGTCCCCACAAAGGACATGATCTCATTCCTTTACTTTTTTGGGGGGGATGGAGTCTTGCTCTGTGACCCAAGCTGGAGTGCAGTGGCACAATCTTGGCTCATTGCAACCTCTGCCTCCTGGGTTCAAGTGATTCTTCTGCCTCAGCCTCCTGGGTAGCTGGGAGTACAGGCACACACCACCATGCCCAGCTAATTTTTACATTTTTAGTAGGGACAGGGTTTCACCATATTGGCCAGGCTGGTCTCAAATTCCTGACCTCCTGATCCATCTGCCTCAGTCTCCCAAAGTGCTGGGATTACAGGTATGAGCCACTGTGCTTGGCCTCATTCCTTTTTATGGCAGCATAGTATTCTATAATGTATATGTACCACATTTTCTTTATCCAGTCTATCATTGATGGCATTTGGGTTTGATCCATGTCTTTGCTATTGGAAATAGTGCTGCAATAAACATACATGTGCATATGTCTTTATAGGAGAATGATTGATATTCCTTTGGGTATATACCCAGTAATGGGATTGCTGGGTCAAACAGTATTCATGGTTCTAGATCCTTGAGGAATCACCATATTGTCTTCCACAATGATTGAACTAATTTATATTCCCACCAACTGTGTAAAAGCATTCCTATTTCTCTACAGTCTCACCAGCATCCATTGTTTCCTGACTTTTTAATGATTGCCATTCTGACTGGCATGAGATGGTATCTCACTATGGTTTTGATTTGCATTTCTCTGATGATCAGTGATATTGAGCTATTTTTCATATGTTTGCTGACCACATAAATCTCTTCTTTTGAAAAGTGTCTGTTTACATCCTTTGCCCACTGTTTTTTTTTCAGACGGAGTTTCGCTCTTGTTACCCAGACTGGAGTGCAATGGCACGATCTCGGCTCACCGCAACCTCCGCCTCCTGGATTCAGGCAATTCTCCTGCCTCAGCCTCCCGAGTAACTGGGACTACAGGCACGTGCCATCATGCCCAGCTAATTTTTGTATTTTTAGTAGAGATGGGGTTTCACCATGTTGACCAGGATGTTCTTGATCTCTTGATCTCGTGATCCACCCACCTTGGCCTCCCAAAGTGCTGGGATTATAGGTGTGAGCCACCACTCCTGGCATCCTTTGCCCACTTTTTGACTTGTAAATTCCGGATATAAGATCTTTGTCAGATGGATAGATTGCCAAAATTTTCTCCCATTCTGTAAGCTTCCTATTCACTAATTATAGTTTCTTTTGCTGTGCAGAAGCTGTTTAATTTAATTAGATCTGGTTTGTCAATTTGGGCTTTTGTTGCAATTGCTTTTGGTATTTTAGTCATGAAGTCTTTGCCCATGCCCATGTCCTAAATGGTATTGCCTAGGTTTTCTTCTAGGGTTTTTATGGTTTTGGGTTTTACATTTAAGTCTTTAATCCATCTTGAGTTAATTTTTCTATAAGGTGTAAAGAGGGGTCCAGTTTCTGTTTTCTGCATATGGCTAGCCCATTTTTGGGCTTTTCTTTTCTACCACATGACTGGGCTGCAAATTTTCCAAGCTCTTATGCTCTGTGTCCCCTTTAGATGTAAGTTCCAACTTCAGATCATTTCTTTGCTCATATATATGAGCAGAAGTTTTTGGAAGCAACCACTTTACTTCTTGAATGCTTTGTTGATCAGAAATTTCTCCCACCAGATACCCTAAATCATCATTCTCAAGTTCAAAGCTCCACAAATTTCCAAGGCAGATACATACAGCGGCCAAGTTCTTTGCTAAGACATAACAAAAGTGACCTTTGCTCCATTTCTTAGTTAGCTACTCATTTCCATCTGAAACCTTGACATCTGAACTTTCATGTCCCTATCACTATCAGCATTTTGGTCACAACCATTTAACCAAACTTTCCATTATCTTCCTGTCTTCTTCTGAACCCTACAAACTCTTCCAACTTCTGCCTGCTTCCCAGTTTCAAAGTCACTTCACATTTTCAGGTATCTTTATAGCAATGCCCCACTCCTCAGTACCAATTTTCTGTATTTGAAACTAATTAATGTATAATAAAAAGAAGTTCAATTGGCTCAGGGGTCCACAGGCTGTAGAAGAAGCATGATGCTGACATCTGCTCAGCTTCTGGGGAGGCCTCAGGAAACAGTCATGGTGGAAGATGAAGGGGGAGCAGGCATGTCACATGGCCAGAGCAGCAAGAGAGAGATGGGGGAGGTACTACATGCTTTTAAAGCACCAGATCTCATGAGAACTCACTCACTATTGTGATCATAGTATCAAGGGGGGATGGTGCTAAATTATTCATGAGAAACCACCCTCATGATCTAGTCTCCTCTCAGCAGGCCCCACTCCAACTTTAGTGATTACAGCTGAACATGAAATTAGGATAAGGACACAGATCCAAGTCATATCACCATCCAAAAGCCAAGTTCTTGAACTGAGGACCTCAAGAGACTGCTTGCTGTTCTATTCCTCTGTGGCCAAGCTGGTACCTAAGGTGCAAAATAAAGTCCCCTTTACTTTTCCCTCTGCTTTTCTCAAGCAGGAAGAATCTTGCCCTATAGCCACACAGATGGTAATATGCTGAGTCTCACCTAAAGCCAGAACATCTCAGAGTCCCACCATGACATACTGCCTTGGTATCACTGCTCCTTATTCAGGGCCCAAGGGCTCTTCAGTCAGCAGGTGATGACTGCTGGAAGGGCTGTGTTCTTCCCTTCAAGGTAGTGGGTTCCCTTCTGAGCCCACATGTGTCTAGAAATGTTGTCCAGGGGCCAGGGCTTTGAAAAGGGACCTCACAACTCTGACTAGTACCCTATTCTGCTGTGGCTGAGTTGGTATCCAAGGTGCAAGATAAAGTCCTCCTACTCTTCCCTCTCCTTTCCTGAGGTGGAAGTAAGTGTTCTCTTTTAGAACTACAAACTCTGCAGCCTGCGTGTAGGGAAGAGGTAATGCCAGCACTTCCTTGATTGCTCCAGCTGGTGTCTCAGCAGGTCATGTGCTCCCACAGTCCCCTGGCTATGGCCCAAGTTCAGCCAGAACTTGCCTGCAGCCTAGACTGCCTTTCAAGTGTGTTTAGGGCCCTGGAGCACTTCAGCCTGTGACAGTGAGGTCTGCAGGTTTGGACTGCTGGGATTTGTGATTTCCCTCTGGCTAGAGCTGGTTTATATGCCCCTTCCATTGGTGGGCTGCAGCTGAGGTTTGTCCCATTTTGTTTTCTGCTATGACAGGGCAGCACTGAGTTCAGTGCCTCACAGCAGTTGCACTGTGCTTCTCTGCAGTGCACAGAATCACCCTCTGCACCATGCCACAGCTGCCTGGCAATGGGGCAGGGATGGTGTTTGTGATTCAAGACTGTTTTTCCTACCTCTTCAATGCCTCCTTCAGCAATATGAAGTTAAAACCAGGTACTGTGAGTTTACATTTTATTTTTAGTTCTTATAACAGTGCTTTTTTTGTGTAGTTGGTTGTTAAATTGGTGTCCTTGCAGGGAGAATGATTAGCAGAGCCTTCTATTCTGCCATCTTGCTCTGCTCCTCCCTTAATTTTGCTTCATACTTACTTTGTACTTAGGTTTACTTATATTCAGTTTTACTACACTTAATGTAACTTATGCTTAATATTACTATGCAGATTAGTTTAAAAACTCTATGTAGTCAAATATATTAGTATCTTCCTTCATTGTTTCAGGATTTGAGACATAGTGAGAAAGTTTTCCATGCTCCCATTTATACAGTGATTCATTTGTGCATTTTCTTCTGGTATTTTTTTTTAAACTAGAATTGAATATACGGAACCATTGCTATTCGTACTCATTTACTTGCATGGTTTATAAAATTATTTAAGCTTTATTCCTGGCCCTGTTACTGTCTAGTTATTCCCACATAACTCGTCTTAATATGTCTTCCTTCGTGGCTTTAGATATCACCATACATTTATTTGTTTTCAACTGGATCTATTTTTCTTTTTCTAGAGGGGTTAATCTCTTCCACTGGTCTATTATTTTTAATAAGCTCCTAGTTTGCATTTATAATATTTTATAAAAGGTTTTTCCATAGATGTTAATAGATACGAATGATCTGTTTTTTCCTTTTGATACCATTTCTGTTAGTATTTGGTACCAATGATTTATTTACTTCATAAAACATATATGGAATTTGATTATATAAATATATCCAATTAGCAATATGTGCCCCAAAAATATATATATTATATATCAATAAAAGGTAATTTTAAAAAAAGTTTTTAAGTTATCCTTTTTTTGTCAAAAAGACCAATTTTACAATATTGATATTTTTGAAACAAGGATTTCTTTATGACTAATATTTACTGTCTTAAAAGTATTTTGTGCTATGTAAACATCATTTTATTTTTGTTTTGTTCACACTTATTCATTTGATATTAACAATTCTGTCTTTGAAATTTTGTAATGTCTAAAAAGTATTATTTAGCTGAATATATCCATCAGTCTTTAGGAGTATGGGCTAAATTTTCTCCCATAGGCAAAAATGTGGATGATTCCCATGAAGAAAAGCAGCTCATAACAGTTAACAAATAACAGTAGTGACATGGAGGAGGACTCCTTCAAGGGAGATGTGCAGTTGGCAGGCAAGCTTATGAGGCCCACACTGAAAAGGACTCACCAGCCGGCACGGTGGCTCACGCCTGTAATTCCAGCACTTTGGGAGGCTGAGGTGGGTGGATCATGAGGTCAGGGGTTCGAGACCAGCCTGGCCTACATGATGAAACCCCGTCTCTACTTAAAAATACAAAAATTAAGGCCTGGCGCAGTGGCTCAAGCCTGTAATCCCAGCACTTTGGGAGGCTGAGGCAGGTGGATCACGAGGTCAAGAGATTGAGACCATCCTGGTCAACATAGTGAAATCCCGTCTCTACTAAAAAATACAGAAAATTAGCGGGCATGATGGTGTGTGCCTGTAATCCCAGTTACTCAGGAGGCTCAGGCGGAAGAATTGCTTGAACCCAGGAGGCGGAGGTTGCGGTGAGCCAAGATCGCGCCATTGCACTCCAACCTGGGTAACAAGAGCAAAACTCCGTCTCAAAAAAAAAAAAAAATACAAAATTTAGCCAGGCATGGTGGTGTGCACCTGTAATCCCAGCTACTCAGGAGGCTGAGGGAGGAGAATTGCTTGAACCTGGGAGGTGGAGGTTGCAGTGAGCTGAAAGTGCACCACTGCACTCCAGCCTGGGTGACAGAGTGAGACTCTGTCTCAAAACAAAACAAAACAATGGCTCACCAGGTATGAAGGCCTGGAGTGCTTTTAGAACTTTCTGCAATGGAAAGGAGGGGTTGCTGTCGGATGTCTTGGTTCTTCAGCTGCTGGAAGTCTTTAGAAGAGAACAGAAGATGGTCCCCCCAGAGTAAGGTATGCAGACCAAGTAATTATATGCCACCTTTATGTTTTCTTGTCAGTATGTTGAACTAGTGTGGTAACCTGGTTAATTATTGCCAACTGAGGATATAGGCAGGTTTAAATATCTTTGATTTCCATAGCATCAGGGCAAGGATAAATCGTGACTGAAGAAGTGTTGGGTCTAGGGTAAATATGTCTTGTGACTATGCAGACTTCATGTGAGAAAGTCTCTAATAGGAGAAGCCACTGCAATAGGAGTTGCCATGTTTCTTGCGAATGCCATAAGTTGCATATTGTTGGTTATGTAGAATAGCTAACAGCTCTCCCCTATGGGACCACAGCTGAATCCTACTGTTCTGCAGGGAGGTGGTGGCCTGTGATGTAGGATGTCCGTTATAGAGCTATTTCCATTCTGTATGAAAGACTGAGGTGGGTGGATGACTTGAGGCTAGGACTTTGAGACCAACCTGGCCAACATGGTGAAACCTCGTCTCTATTAAAAATACAAAAATTGGCTGGGCGCGGTGGCTCACGCCTATAATCCCAGCACTTTGGGAGGCCGAGGCGGGTGGATCAAGAGGTCAAGAGATTGAGACCATCCTGGTCAACAAGGTGAAACACCGTCTCTACTAAAAATACAAATATTAGCTGGGCATGGTGGTGCGTACCTGGAGTCCCAGCTACTAGGGAAGCTGAGGCAGTAGAATTGCTTGAACACAGGAGGCGGAGGTTGCAGTGAGCTGAGATCGTGCCATTGTACTCCAGTCTGGTGACAACAGCGAAACTCCATCTCAAAAAAAAAAAAAAAAAAAAATACAAAAATTACTGAGGTGTGGTGGCATGTGCCTGTAAACCCAGCTGTTTGGGAAGCTGAGGCAAGAAAATCACTTGAACCAGGGGGGCAGAGGTTGCAATGAGCTGAGATCTGTGATTGAATTCCAGCCTGGGTAACAGCAAGATGAAAGAAGGAAGGGGAGGGGAGGGGAGGAAAAGGGGAAGGTGAAGGGGAAGGAGAAGGGGAATGAGGATGGGGATGGGAAGGGGAAGGGGAAGGGGGAAGGGGGAAGGGAAGGGAACTGTAATAGAATAGAGTTGAACAGAAGAGGAGTGGAGTGAAATGGAATGGAATAGGACAAATTGGAATGGAATGGAGTGAAATAAAGCAGAAGAAAGTTGAACACACTGAAACAATGGAATGGAGTGAAGTGGAAATGAAATGCACTAGACAAATAAATTGCAATAAAATGGAATGGAGTTGTATAAAACAGAATATAACTGAACATAATAAAATAAGATAGAATGCAGTGGAGTGGAGTGGAATGGAGTACAGCAGAATGGCATAGAATGTAGCAGAATGCAGTGGAAAGGAATTGAAAAGAATGAAATGGAATAAAATAGAATAAACTGGAAAAGTGGAATGGAGTGGAGTAAAACAGAATAGAATGGAATGGAGTGGCGTGGAACAGAGTGGAGTAAAATGAAAAAGAATGTTAGAAAATAGAAAGAATAAAATGCGATGGAATGAAATGAAGGAGTCAAGTATAATGAAAGGAAGGGGAATAGAATGGAATGGAGTAGAATGGAATAAAATACAATGAAACCATTTACAGAATGAAATGGAATAGGATAAGCAAAATGAAATAGAGTGGAGTGGAATAGGGTAGGATAGGATAGAATGAGACAAAATAAAGTAGAGTGGTGTGGAATGGAATGGAATGGAATGGAATGCAGTGCAGTGGGAGGGACAGAAATGGAGTAGAACAGAATAAGTGAAATGGAGTGCAGAGGAGTGGAGTGAGCTGGCATAGACTGAGTAGAGTGGAGGGCTGCATCTTGTAAGGATCTTCTTTCTAGTGGAGACTCTGCAGAGGTCCAAGGTAGGGCAGGGCATCACATAGCAAGGGGGTGGAGTGCGATAGCTCAGGCCTCTCTTCCTTTACTTATTAAGCTGCCAGCTCCATTCCCACGATAACCCATTAATCAGTTAATCCATGAATGAAAAATTCATTCATGAGTGCAGAGCCCTCATGGCACAGTCACCTCCTAAAGGTCCCATTTCTCAACACTGCCACATTGGGAATTAGGTTTCGACATGAGTTTTTGTGGAGACAAGCCGTGTTCAAACCACAGCACTGGGGGAGTGCATTTCCATTTAAAGTTGAAGGGATAGAGATTGCCTAGGACATACAGCAGAGAAATTCAACAAGAAAAAAATAATTTTTGTTTGTTTTGAAACAAGGTCTTGCTCTGTCACCCAGGCTGGAGTGTAGTGGCCTGATCTCAGCTCACTGCAGCCTCAGACTCGCAGGCTCAAGAGACCCTCCCACGTCAGCCTGGGAGTCAGGCTAATTTCCATTCAGTCAGTAGCTGGGATTACAGGTGCATGCCACCACACCCAGCTAATTTCTGTATTAAAAGGTTTTTAAATTTAATTTAATGTTTAAAAATGTACTCAGGGGCCGGGCATTGTGGCTCAAAATCCTAGGACTTTGGGAGGCTGAGGTGGGTGAATTTTCTGAGGTCAGGAGTTCAAGACCTGCCAGACCAAAAACCCCATCTCTACTAAAAATAGAAAACTTAGCCAGGTGTGGTGGTGCACACCTGTAATCCCAGCTACTCAGGAGGCGGAGGCAGGGGAATCACTTGAACCCACGAGGCAGAGGCTGCAGTGAGCTGAGATCATGTTATTGCACTCCAGCCTGGACAACAGAGCAAGATTCCATCTCAAAAAAAAAAAAAAAAAAAAAAAGCTTCAAAATTCAAAAGGACAAACCAAAATAACAGGAAAAGTCTCCCTCTGACCATTTATCACCTGGACCCTGAGTTCCCTTTTCCAAAGGAAATGATGTTAACATTGCTCTGTAAATTTCCAAAAATATTTTATACATACAATAGCATGTAATATATAGCATATATAACTATATGTGTGTTGTACTAATTTCCTACTGGTGCTATAAAAATTATCATAAATGTAATTGTTTAAAATAAAATATAGTTATTATCTTGCAATTCCGGAGTCAGACATCTCACATGGGCCATAGTGGGCTAAAAATCAAGATGTCAGCCGAGCCCAGTGGTTCATGCCTATAATCCCAGTGCTTTGAGAGGCCTAGGCAGGAAGATACTTGAGCCCAGGAGCTTAAGGCCAGCCAGGGCAACATAGTGAGACCCCCATCCCTACAAAAAGCAAATTTTAACTAGCTAGGTGTGGTGGCACGCACCTGTAGTCCCAGCTACTCCAGAGGCTGAGATGGGAGGATTGTTTGAGTCCAGGAATTCAAGGTTGCAGTAAGTGATGATCATGTCACCGGAGTCCAGCCTGGGTGACAGAGGGAGAACAAGTACCAAAAAAAAAAAAAAAAAAAGACATACATAAAGAAAAGTACATATGTAATGTTAGCTATGAATTGATTAGACACATTTATTTATTTATTTTTGCTTAAGACAGAATCTCACTCTTGGTTGCCCAGGCTGGAATGCAGGGGCGTGATCATGGCTCACTGCAGCCTCAACTCACTGGGCTCAAGCAATCCTCCCACTTAGCTTCCTGAGTAGCTAACTATAGGCTCACCACCATGCCCAGCTAATTTTTTTTTTTTGAGACGGAGTTTCACTGTTGTTACCCAGACTGGAATGCAATGTCACGATCTCAGCTCACCGCAACCTCTGCCTCCTGGGTTCAAGCAATTCTCCTGCCTCAGCCTCCCAAGTAGCTGGGACTACAGGCGCGCACCACCATGCCCAGCTAATTTTTGTATTTTTAGTAGAGACGGGGTTTCACCTTGTTGACCAGGATGATCTCAATCTCTTGACCTCGTGATCCACCCGCGTCGACCTCCCAAAGTGCTGGGATTATAGGCGTGAGCCACCGCGCCCGGCCAATTTTTTGTATTTTTAGTAGAGATGGGGTTTCACCACATTATCCAGGTTGGTCTTGAACTCCTGGACTCAAGTGATCTGCCTGCCTCGGCCTTCCAAAGTACTGGGATTACAGGTATGAGCCGCCGCACCTAGCCTGTTTATTTATTTTTGAGATGAGGTACGGTAGTGTGACCCAGGCTGGATTTGAACTGTGGACTTAAACTACCATCCCAATTAAGCCTCCTGAGTAGTTGGGACTATATAGGCTTGTATCACCACACCCAGAATATTATTAAACACCTCCTAGATCCAGGTGCTTTTTTAACTCTGGTGTGACAAAGATATGAGCTCACAATTATTACAGCATCCAGCCAAACAGCAAGGATTCAAAATGAATACGGGAAGTTATCTCCCCAAACCATTGTCTTGTTTTGTCTTATGAATACAGCGTTTCTGATTCTTAATTCATTCACAGACCACTTTCACTATATTGCCACTGCGAAGACCACCTATATTGTGTCAAATACAAAAAAAAAAAAAAAATCCAGACTTGGGAAGGAGTCACTTAATAGAAAAGGATTATTACAAGGGGAAGGGGAAGGGGAAGGGGAAGGGGCTTCTGTAATAGGAAGAGGGGGACTATACTCCTACTGTGAAATCTGCCAGCATCTCAAACGTTGGGTAGAAAGGGGTTTTTCTGCCCTTTTGGCTCTCTGAGCAGCACCATGGCGATTGGCAAGAACAAGCGCCTTACAAAAGGCGGCAAAAAGGGAGCCAAGAAGAAAGTGGTTGATCCATTTTCTAAGAAAGATTGGTATGATGTGAAAGCACCCACTATGTTCAATATAAGAAATATTGGAAAGACGCTAGTCACCAGGACCCAAGGAACCAAAATTGCATCTGATGGCCTCAAGGGTCGAGTGTTTGAAGTTAGTCTTGCTGATTTGCAGAATGATGAAGTTGTGTTTAGAAAATTCAAGCTGATTACTGGAGATGCTCAGGGCAAAAACTGCCTGACTAACTTCCATGGCATGGATCTTACCCGTGACAAAATGTGCTCCACGGTCAAAAAATGGCAGACAATGATTGAAGCTCATGTTGATGTCAAGACTACCGATGGTTACTTGCTTTGTCTGTTCTGTGTTGGTTTTACTAAAAACGCAACAATCAGATACGGAAGACCTCTTATGCTCAGCACCAACAGGTCCGCCAAATCCAGAAGAAGATGATGAAATCATGACCCGAGAGGTGCAGACAAATGACTTGAAAGAAGTGGTCAGTAAATGGATTCCAGACAGCATTGGGAAAGACATAGAACAGGCTTGCCAATCTATTTATCCTCTCCATGATGTCTTCGTTAGAAAAGTAAAAATGCTGAAGAAGCCCAAGTTTGAATTGGGAAAACTCATGGAGCTTCATGGTGAAGGCAGTAGTTCTGGAAAAGCCACTGGGGATGAGACAGGTGCTAAAGTTGAACGAGCTGATGGATATGAACCACCAGTCCAAGAATCTGTTTAAAATTCAGACTTATAATAGTGGCAAATAAAATGTGTGGCAAATAAAATGGCTTATTTGTGGCCGGGCGTGGTGGCTCACACCTGTAATCCTAGCACTTTGGGAGGCTGAGGTGGGTGGATCACCTGAGGTTGGGAGTTCAGAACCAGCCTGGTTATCATGGTGAAAGCCCATCTTTATTTTAAAAAATAAAAATAAATAAATAAATAAAAAGTCCTATTTGCAAAAAAAAAAAAAAGAAAGGGATTTTTCTTCTAGAGGGAAGAGTGACTAAAGCTAGGAAGAATGAAGTGTGGGGAAATGGGAGGAGCCACATGAAGGGAGGGGTGGGAGGTGGAGTGAATGGAGTAGTGAGAGAAAGTTTTACCTGGCGTCCAGCTTGTTCTTAGGAGGGACCGGCTGCTGCCTCAGGTTGAGGGTGGGTTCAGGTTCACGGCCCTGGGATCCTGGGAGAACGAGAGTCTGGTTAACAAGTACTCCGTTCTGATGCATCAGTGAGTATGTTGGTCAACCTAATCATTTGTGGGGCAATGAGTGGGAATTTGGAAGGTCTGTGTGTGGCCTTGTGTCAGGTCAACGAGGGAACATCCTCAAGCCTTCTCTAAGTTATATGAGGAAGGGAAGTTCTTTGCTGTGTCAACTGATATTAAGCCTGTTAAGGCAGACATAATTTTATAAATGTTTTGTAAATCAAAGAGTATCTGGAACAAGTCTTAATTTAGGAATTTTATTTTGCCAAGGTTGTGGATGCACCCGTGACACAGCCTCAGGAGGTCCTGGTGACATGTGGCCAAGGTGGTCAGGGCACAGGAGACATTGGACATCAATCAGTACATGTGAAATGTACATCGGTTCAGTCCAGAAAGGTGGGACCACTTGAAGTGAGGAGGGGCTTCCAGGTGTATATATAATAGGTAGGTAAGAGACAAAGGATTGTATCCTTTTGAGTTTCTGATTAGCCTTTCCAAAGGACGTAGGTGTGCATTTAACTCAGCAGAGGGATGACTTTGAGTTCTGCCTGCCTTTGTCCACAAACTGTAAGGAAGGTATGTAGTTTTTTGTTTTTATTTTAAATCTTAGTAGCTATTTTTTTGGAATAGAGTGGGAGGCACGATGAGATTTGAGGAACTCGGCGCAGATATTCTACTCAGGGACAGGATGTCAGCCACAAATCATAAGACCTTCTCCAGGTGGTTAATTTGGACCTGTAGGTCATCAGCTAGAAGCCATTTCCAGGACACAAAGGGTAGGAGAATTGTTTTAATTCACACTCCCAGGGATCAGGTAAAAGTCACCACTGTCAACCAGTACACTTGATGTTCTTCCTTTTAATAACTAATCAGGTTCTTTAAAGAAAGTTTCAGATTGCTCATACAAAAGGACAACTGGTAGCAATGCCATAAAGAAAGGGGGCATTCGATGGACTCAAAGAAAACAAAGCAATGCTACTAGACCGGAGACAGTGGAATCCAGCTGCATTTATGAGTTTGTCTTCATTAAATACTGGAGATTAGTAAGTGTCAAAGGAGCCATGAAGACATCCTAGCACAGAGAGGGTCCACTGTGTGATCTAATCAGAAGAGCTGCAGGAAAGAATAGCTTTGCAGTATATGAGTTAATGTTTTTAATGCTACACCCATTCACCAACTAAAATTATCTCAGTGATTCCCCACTTTGGAAATCCCAAACAATCCATTAGGATGCCAGTGAAAATTTTCCCATCAGTTTTTTAAAAACTAAACTTCAGTTTTTAGAACAGCTTTACACATTCAGAAAAATTGGTAAACTAATACAGAGAGTTCTCATAAACTCTGCACTCAGTTTCTTCTGTTATTAATATTTTGTTAATGTATTTGTTGGGTACACGTTATAATGAATGAATGAAGTAGCTATGTTACTAACTAAAGCCCAAGCATTCTTCAGATTTCCTGTTTTCACCTAATGTCCTTTTGCCGTTCCAGGACATTGATCTAGGATGCCTCCTCACACCCAGTTGTCCTGACTTCTTAGTCTCTCCTTGACTCACAGTTTCTCAGACTTTCTTGTTTTTGATGACCTTGATGGTTTTGAGGTATTGTGGTATTTTGTAGAATATCCTTCAACCAAGGTTTGTCCGATGATTTTCTTTTTTTAAATAGAGATGAGATCTTGCTACGTTGCCCAGGCTGATCTGGAACTCCTGGGTTCAAGTGATCCTCCTGCCTCAGCTTCCCAAAGTGCTGGGATTACAGGCATCAGCGACTTTGCCCAATCTGTCTGATGATTTTCTCATGGTTAGACTACAGTTTGGGATGGGGGATAGTTTGGGGTTGGAAGATCACAGAGGTAAAGAGCCCTTCTCAGCACTTCATTATCAAGGGTTCAAACTGTCAACTTGACTTCTCATTGTTGATGTTGGCCTTGGTCACCTGCCTCTGGTAATGATTGTCAGGTCTGTCCACTATACAGTGACTCTGTCCTCCTTTCCACACCGTATAGTTGGAGAGGCAGTCACTATGCACAACGCACACCTAAGGGTGCAGCGTTACGCTCCCACTCCTCAAGGGCAGATCATCTATGTAAAGCATTGGAGTTTGGCGAAGGTAGTATCTACTCCCCATTTATTTATCCAATTGTTTGTTTATAATAATACAAACTCCCTCTTGACTTTTAAATGCCCAGCCAGTCCTCTGCATCCAGCCTGCCTTGTCTGATTTTGTTTTTTGATGTATGTATGAGTCCATTTTCACACTGCTATAAAGATACTACCTGAGACTGGGTAATTTACAAAAAAAGGACGTTTAATTAACTCACAGATCCGCAGGTCCGGGGAGGCCTCAAGAAAGTTACAATCGTGGTGGAGGGAGAAGCAAGCACCTTCTTCACAGGCAGCAAGACAAAGAGACAAAGGAGGAAATTCCAAACACTTACAAAACCATCAGATCTTGCAAGAACTCACCATCACCACAATAGCGTAGGGGAACCACCCCCATGATCCAAACACCTGCCCCGCTTGACGCCTTGGGATTACAGGATCCTCCCTCAAAACTTGAGGGTTATAAACTGCGATGAGATTTGGGTGGGGACACAGAGCCAAACTCTATCAATATAGGTTCTTGCTCTGTCACCCAGGCTAGAGTACAGTGGCATAATCAAGGGCTCAGCGCAGCCTCCACCTCCAGGGCTCAAACAATCTTTCCACTTTCCACTTCAGCCTCCAGAGTAGCTGGGACTACAGGCAACACGCCACCATACCCGGCTAATTTTTGTATTTTTTATAGAGATGAGGTTTTGCCATGTTGCCCAGGCTGGTCTGGAACTCTAGGGCTCAAGTGATCCGCCTGTCTTGGCCTCCCGAAGTGCCCGGATGACAGGCCTGAGGCACGGCGCCCAGCCACATGGCTGTGTGTGCTTTCTCCCCTGACCACCTCATCTACTCTCACAACTACAATGACAGCAACAGGGCAAGACCCCGAGCATTTCCCCAGCAGCCTAAAGCTCCTCTGTTCTTTGGACTTGCATGTTCAGCTGCCTCCTGCCGTGGCTACCCTTAACGCTCCGCATGTTCCACACTGAACTGCTGCTGCAATTCTCCTTCCTCCCCAAGACATCGCCCCTGTGTTCATGTAGAAACTTGGAAGTTTCCCTCCCAGCTTGCCACCCAGATACTCCCCAAATCTCTGTACCTCTCTTCACCCATGCTGTTGCCTCCAAAGTGCTTCACGCTGGACTCCCACCTGTCCTGGCTTAGTGGCCTTGAAACTCACCTTAAATCCCCCAGTGCTCCTTCTCCCTAGCATCCCACTATCTTCTCCCTAATACTCCACTGTCGCCCCTGCACCCCGATATCCTTCTCCTGTACCCCGTTTCTCCCTCCTCTACACCCCACTACAGCAGAGCCACCTTTAAAAACACAAACTTTGGCCAGAAAGGTGGCTCACACCTGTAATCCCAGCACTTTGGGAGGTTGATGCCAGGAGTTCAAGACAAGCCTGGGCAACTTAGTGAAACCTTGTCTTTATGAAAACTACATTTAAAAACTATTGAGGCATGGTGGAGTGTGCCTGTAGCCCCAGTTACTTGGGAGGTTGAGGTAGGACGGCTTGAGCCCAGGAGTTTAAGGCTGCAATGAGCTATGATGGTGCCACTGCACTCCAGCCTGGATGACAGAGTGAGACCCTGTCTCAAAAAATAAATTAAGTAAAAATACAAACCTGGTTACGCTACCTCCCTGCTGTCATAGGCTCTCAAGGTACATTCCAACAAGATCTGTTGCCACTCTGTCCCTTGTTCCCAGAGCTTCATGGGTCCTCCTCAAGTCCAGCCATGGACAGCCCTGCCTACTCCTTTTCCCATGCTGCCTTTTTTCCATCTTCCACATCTTCTTTTCAAAGTCACTTCTCTTGGAAGGCTTCTCTGACCCTACAGACTATGGGAAAATTCTGTTACATTCTCTATGTATTCCTAATCTGTAACTCTTATCAAACTGGTTATATAAAGATCATTTATTAGAGTTCATTACTTTATGGCTTTAATTACTCTGTTAGTATACAGCAGCTCCGCACACTGTGAAATGTCCAGACTCTAGACAGGCTGCCTGAATTGAAACCTTGGGTCTGCTGTGTATCCCTAAGCAACTTCCTCTACCACTCTATGCCCCATCTGTAAAATGGGCATAATGATTGTGCCTCCTTTGCAGGTGATCATGAAGATTCAGTGAGCTGCTATGTGCCAAGCTCATCCAAGAGGGCCTGAAATTTCAGCAGCTGCCACGGGAGGTAAATGGTGAATAATGCAAGTCTGTTCTTCCGAATCATAGAAAGACTCCCGAGTCTTTTTCTGCTGGCCTGATCATCATCTACCAGAGGGAGGGCAGTTTGAGGTAAGATAAAATCTGGAAGAAAAAGCATCACTGGCCACTCCCGCCCTCACCCCTCAACCCCCTAGCTCAGGTTAAGGGCTTGCAGGCCCAGCTGCACCTCTGCCCTAGAGACACCTGTACAGACTCCTAGGAAATTGCTCAGAGCCACGCAGCCATGGTGAGACTGGAGTCAGGGCAGGGCTCACCCCTGGGTCTCCCCACAGTACTTGCAGGCCTCTCTAGAAAACAGACAGACTGAGACTGGAATGGGGAACTGAATACCCCTAAGTTAGTGGCGCACGAGTGTTTCCATGACGTATGCTGGAAAGTCAATTCATTATCAATACAAAGAGGGAGCAGGGGCCGGGCGCGGTGGCTCAAGCCTGTAATCCCAGCACTTTGGGAGGCTGAGGCGGGTGGATCACGAAGTCAACAGATCGAGACCATCTTGGTCAACATGGTGAAACCCCGTCTCTACTAAAATTACAAAAAATTAGCTGGGCATGGTGGCACGTGCCTGTAATCCCAGCTGCTCAGGAGGCTGAGGCAGGAGAATTGCCTGAACCCAGGAGGCGGAGACTGCGGTGAGCCGAGATGGCGCCATTGCACTCCAGACTGGGTAACAAGAGCGAAACTCCGTCTCAAAAAAAAAAAAAAAAAAAAAAAAAGAGGGAGCAAGATGCACTGCCACATGCAGACCTGGGCCCTCCCCGAGCCTCTGCCGCACGCTTGCAGTAAACCGGTCCCAAAAGTTATGCTTTGGGGTTGCAAAGAGAGATGCCCCTCTGAGGAGACAGGAGGGAGTGTGAGGGTCACAGGGTAGCAGAGCCAGAGCGTCCTGGACTTGCCTGTGCCTCTTTCCAGTGGGGCTGGTGGCTGCGATGCTGACTGGGCAAAGGAGAGGGCATGGGTGGCAAGCGTGGCTCCCAGGCACTTCCAGGCAAGGGAAGTCCTCCTCTCCTGAAGTCCTTTCTCCCCACCCCATTTCAAAAGACCAGGCTCTTCTTATTAAAAACCGTTGTTTCTTCTCTGGATGTGTCCTGACTTCACCATTACTGCCAGGCCTGAGGCTCAGCCAAGCCCTGAGACCCAGCACAGCCTGGGGAAGGCCCAACCACTAGAGCAGCTCCAGGCTCCACCTTCCCTCGGGGCTGAGGGAGGGAAGCCCAGGCGGGTAGGAACCGCCCAGCTTCAGCCAGGCCTTCCTCATAAACTTCTTCCCACCCAGCCATAAGATGAGGAAAAGTAAGTCGCTTCTTCCCGCTTAAAACCCAGCTGAGAAAAATCTCACCCCCTCCATCCTGACAAAAACAATGACAACATCACTCACCCATTCAATATTCTCAGAGTGTCCTGTCCCCACAGGAAGGCGACTACATCTCTCAGGTTTATTCCTCCTCCAGCTTGAAGCCACCACGAGGACTGTGTGGCTTCGCCACCACTCTGCTTCAGTCTGAGGGCGAGGCACTTAGGTCCTTGTGTCCTCGCCTGCTGTGGTGACAGCAGGAATGAGGCTGCAGGAAACTGGGTCTGTGACCTCAGAGAAAACATTTAACTAAGTTGTCCTCAGTGGCCAAAGGAGGGCTCTGGACAACTTATTGTGTCTCTTTCAGCTTTAACACTCATGATACTTTTGTTTTCAGACAAGGTCTTACTGTCACACAGGCTGGAGTACAGTGGCATGAGCAAGGTTCACTGCAGCCTTGACCTCCCTGCCTCAGGTTATCCTCCTGCCCGAGCCTCCTGAGTAGCTGGAACCACAGGTGCACACCACCACGCCTGGTTAATTTTTGTATTTTTTGTGGAAACAGGGTTTTGCCATGTTGCCCAGGCTGGTCTCAAATTCCTGTGCCTGCCTGGGCCTCCCAAAGTGCTGGGATTACAGGCGTGAGCCGCCACACCCAGTAACACTCAAGATTTTTACTGAATGTGAGCCAGTAGTTGAGTTTCAAAACACATTTTAAAATGTTTTTCTTCCCTCCTTTCTTTCCAGTCTCAAGATATAACCTTGAAACAAACTTAAAAACCTTTTTCCTTAGTCTTAAAATATAACCTTGAGATGTACTCTGAAACTCCAGCCCCTTCCCTTTTCCACTGTATACTTCTTTACCCCATGCACCTTTATCTAACCATATGCTTGTTAAAACATTCCAGGGGCTAAAACACACCAGGCAGGCAGGTCCAGCTGTGAAATCCTCCCCGACTTAACAGACTGCCTCAAGATCGATAATCTATTGCCTGACTGCAAGCAGCATAAGAAGGCTCTGGCTGCTCACGGCTTGTGGAAAGAAGCCAAAATAATGAGTTGGCCCAGCATTATGGCTCACGCCTGTAATCCCAGCACTTTGTGAGGCTGAGGTGGGCAGATCACTTGAGGTCAGGAGTTCGAGACTAGCCTGGCCAACATAGCAAAGCCCCATCTCTACTAAAAAATACAAAAATTAGCTGGGCATGGTGGCATATGCCTGTAATCCTAGCTACCAGAGAGGCTGAGGTATGAGAATTGCTTGAACCCAGGAGGCGGAGGCTGCAGTGAGCTCAGATTGTGCCACTGCACTCCAGTCTGGGGCATAGGGCAAGATTCTGTCTCATAAATAAATAAAATGAAGTTATTATAGCTTGAGACTAGGGGGTTTGAGGAGGAAAAGGAAAAGGAAAAAAGAGTTTTAAAACGTGGTTTGAGGCTTGGCTGCTAAGCTGCTCAGTCACATGGCCATGGCAGCTGTGAAGAGAGTGCCAGCCTGTGCTCAAGGCAAGCATCACAGCAAGACACTGCCCTGCACCCCGTACAACTCCAGCACACCTTTCACATCAGGCTGCCCTGCTTTAAGCCCCTCCCTCAGCCCAGACTTTGGAAATGGTTTCTTTAAGGCCTTGGCATTTCCCATCTGCTAGCATCTCATCAATACGGCTGCTTTCCTTTTACCGCACCGTGCTTCTTGTGAGCAGCTGAACTTGAGTTGGTTACATGAAGATAACTATTTCCTGAGGGAGTGTCACCTTACTGTGGAAACCAGAACATGGAGGGCAGCTTTGGTTTCCTGTAGTGGAAGAACATGACTGATTACCTGATTTTCAGATTTAAATCCTCCCTTAGGGCCGGGCAGGGTGGCTCAAGCCTGTAATCCCAGCACTTTGGGAGGCCCAGGCGGATGGATCACGAGGTCAAGAGATCGAGACCACCCAGGTCAACATAGGGAAACCCCGTCTCTACTGAAAATACAAAAAATTAGCTGGGCATGGTGGCGCATGCCTGTAATCCCAGCTACTCAGGAGGCTGAGGCAGAGAATTGCCTGAACCCAGGTGAGCCGAGATCATGCCATTGCACTCCAGCCTGGGTAACGAGAGCAAAACACCGTCTCAAAAAAAAAAAAAAAAAAATCCTCCCTTAAAAGAACAGTAATGGTCTGAATGGGCCCCCCCCTCCCCCCATGAAGATCTTTCCCCTGGGACCTGTGATGTGGCCTTATTTGGAAAAAGGGTGTTTGCAGGATACCTAGTTGATACCGGAGACTGGCATCTGGGCAGTGGGAGCTCTCCCCAGCACCTCAACATGCTGGCTTCCAAGCACCCACTTGGATGGAGGTTCTGTTTCTTTTGGGAGGGCAGAAGTGATGGGGTGCAGCTCTATCCAATACATATCAAACTCTCATTTTGCAGGAGCATGTTGTCTGAGACCCCAAGCTGGATGAGGTAAGCAGACATAGTCAAAGAGGTCTCTGCCCTTGGTGGTCAACAGAGGAGAGAGTGGTGAGAAAGGAATGCATTGGAAATCATCTGCCCTCTTCTTCTCAACTGTAATGCAGGTCTGCACTTACCATCTCCGAGCCCCAACACTGCACACCTGGCTGTTACTGAATCTAACTGGGATCCACTCGTCCAGCGCAGTCAGGCCAAATATCCACACTGAGGTTTATGTCAGGAGAAAGGAAGGTGTTTATTTGCAGGATGCCAAGCAAGGAGAATCAGGCAGCTCACACTGAGTATCTGTCTTCCACAGTGGCTTGCAAGTAAGGGTTTTTAAAGGCGAGGTGGCTGGTGCCAAGGCAATGAGTTACCTCAACTGCTCAGTCAGTTACACATCAAATGCCTTGTTCTACTCATCCCCCGCTTCTCACTACTGCATTTGACTCGTCATTTAAAAAAGAAAAGAAAAAAAAGAAGGAGAAACATAAAGGCAGGGGTAAATTTTAGGAAAGCAGAAATTACAGGCAAATTCATGAATTAATACATTGAAATGATGTCTTGGTTTAGCCTCAAAAGGGCAGGATACTTTGAAGCAGAGGCTTACAGCTCATAGGTAGAATTCACAGATTTTCTGATTTGTAATAGGTTATAGAAGAGCAGCTTGGTTTAAAATTCTGGGCCGGAGGAAGAGAAGGTTAGGTCTGGCCCTTGGGAATGACTTCCTCCAGGGTCAGGAGGAAATTTAAGACAACACCGGTCAGAGTTTAGTCCTCAGGCCTCGTTATCTTATCTGAGGTTTCTGTGCCAGTGAATCCTTGCCCAGCAAGGAGCATGCCTTTGACAAGAACTAACCCATCCAGACCCGAACCTCCAGTGTCTGACCTGACCAACGTGTCCTCTGCCTTATGCATCCCAGAGTCTGGTGCCAGGCAATGAGGAACCATCTCTGTAACCCAAAGCCCACAGAAATTTTTCAAACTAGTCAATCCTAGACTATTCACTTTGCTCTGCCTTGCCTCTGTCCAAGGAAACCCCAAAAAGACAGTGGCCCAAACCTTCTCCTTGCTCGTGTCCTCTGCCTCCTGCCACCTGGTCTTTCCTGTGTGGCCCTGTGTGGCCTGAGGTGCCTCCTGTCTCTAGGACCTGTAAGCAGAATAAACTTTGTCTTTTCCTAAGACTCGTTTGTCTTCTCTTGTGGCTACACTTGACTGATCACATAAAAAAGTACAAAACAGCAGGTATCCAACCTCACCATGTTTTGACAAGGTGTAGCAAAACCAGTAACATGAGCCAGGATAGACGCAAACATAGCAAGATTTTTTTTAAAGCAGGTGATGGGGAGAGGGTGGTTCTCCTGCCATTTGGTTGTGTGATTAGAAGACAGACCTTTGTCATGGTTATCAGCCTGCCTGTGATATTCCAAGATGTGTGAGGTCATCCCACTTGCATGTATTCCTGAGGAATCTGCTTTCCCACACTTTTTAAGAATTTTGCATCTGCTCACAGGGAATTTCTATGGCTTCTCTGTACTTTGTTGATTATATGTACATTAATCATGGTGACCTGGTTATAGGCTATGGTTTCAAGAGAAGATAAAGTTCCCAACTGGTATTTGATGGGCAAAATAGGTATAAATGGACCCCATGGGCTTTGCCCTTGATGAGAGCCCAGTCCCTGCCAACCCTCCCCCAGATGCTGGGCTGCTGAAATTCTACTGGTTGCCCTCTATATGGGTCTGGGCTGCTGGAGGTACCTGGTCTTCCAGCGGTCCCCTCAACACTCCTTTTCCTGTGGCCAGTCTGCCCTAAGCAAGTTTTGTAACCTCTAGCCTTGTTGCATGGAATAGTAGTGGACACTGACCATCACTTTTAAGACCAAACAGTAACAGTGTTTGTTGCTAATATTGTGTCTGGAGGCTGGGTGTGGTGGCTCAAACTTACAGTCCCAGCACTTTGGGAGGCCGTGGTGGGAGGAACTCAGAAGTTTAGGACCAGCCTGCACAAAACAGTGAGACCACCTCTTAGGAAAAAAAAAAAAATGAGCTTGTTTGATGGCATTTCTGAAGTGCTATAATCATCACTGAACTGCCTACATAACTCTGCTAGCAGAAGTACTCGTGTCTGGTCCAAACTCTGCTTTTGGCAGAGGAAGGAAAACCATCTCACCGAAGAGTGACTTGGACAAGATCTCTGCCTTCTCTTCCCTTTGTGCCACAGTATGATTTAGGACTGATAGGGACCCTCCCTCCAGTGGACTCATCTTTTAATTGTTTCTTCTTCTGAGGCAAGAGCTGGGGAGATAGAGAAAACGGAAAAATGGCTAACGTTAGGTTAAAGTTGTGGTGTGACCAGGAGTACAATCTACCCTGTGTATGAAACAGTTATTTATTCTTTCTTTTGGGGAGCAGCCAGATCAGGTGACCAGAACTAGCTAAAGCCTACAGGTCCTAGAAAACATCAGATTTTCACCTTTCGGCTGTGCTTCACATTTTACCTTTTTTTGAGATGCGGTCTTGCTGTTGCCCAGGCTGCAGTACAGTGCGTTCCACCGTTCACAGCAACCTCTGTCTCTGAGTTCAAGGGATCTTCCCCTGCCTCAGCCTCCCAAGTAGCTACAGGAATGTGCCACCACAGCAGGCTAACTTTTCTAATTTTTTTTTTTTTCCCATACAGATGGGGTCTCACTATGTTGCTCAGGCTGGTCTCAAACTCCTGAGCTCAAGAAATCCTTGTCTTGGCCTCCCAAAGTGTTGGGATTACAGGAATGAGCCACCATGCCTGGCCACCTTTTACTTTTCAAATGAAAAGCCTAACACGAATATTGATTCAGCTAGTGAGTTTTTATTATGGACCTGTGGGTTTGTGGCAATGCCAAGGGATCAGAGGAATGAAGAGGGAGGATGTTGCTCAGATGGGGTCTCAACCTCCAGAGCAAGGTGGAGACATAGCTCCAGACAGCTGCCCAGCCCCTGGGGTGGGAGGGAAGAACTGAGGGGCAGCTGTTCTCAGGGAGACAAAGATCACTTGGGTGCAGCCCCCTACACCGTGGTGGAAGGTGCTGGTTGGGCTGGAGAGTTGTCAGACCTCTCCTCGGAGCAGGTAACCCCTAGCTGCTCCTGCTGCATGGGACAAACCTGGGTTTCAGCTACATTTCCCAGGAGGATTTCCAATTCCATCTCCTGAGGTGCCTTGGTTGGCTCTGGATTGGTGGTAGGAACTCAAGAGACAGCCTCCCTGTAGTTTCTAGTTCCCTCACATTCCCTTCGTCACTTTCTCGTTCATGATGTGGCTTTACACATAAAACACAGGGGTAGGTAGAACAACGTTCCTCTGAGTCAGACGTCTGAAGCAGGAAGGTGAATAACCCTCCCAAGTCCTCAGAGCTACTAAGAGAATCCTCAGGAGAGGTAGGATCACACAGGTAGGTGGGGTAAATGTGAACCCACAGAGCCTGGCTTCCACTTGGAATTATCCCCCCTCCTTGGCCTTAAAAATCCAATTTCTCCCTTGTCCAGATAGGTTGATACAAGAGACAAACTATTTAGAAACTAAAAGCCTCAACAGCTTACTTCCTGTTCCAAGTATAACCAAATGGTTTTACTGCGCTTACTCTTCCTGGGCACGTGTGTAGATGCATCTACACAGAAACAGTAGTTGTGACTATATAATCTTGTCATGCGTTTGGGGCTGAGGCTTTTTGATTCTTTTTGAGTCGGGTCTCATTCTGTCACTCAGGTTTATGTGCAGTGGTGTGATCTCGGCTTACTGCAACCTCTGCCTCCCAGACTCAAGCAATCCTCCCACCTCAGCCTCCAGAGTAGCTGGGACTGCAAATATGCACCACCACACCCAGCTGATTTTTTATACTTTTGGTACAGATGGGATTTTGCCATGTTGCCCAGGCTAGTGTCAAACTGAGCTAGGCGATCCACCCGCCTTGACTTCCCAAAGTGCTGGGATTACAGGCCTCTGTGCCTGGCCCAGAGGCTTCTTAATGTGAAAATTACATGACAAGGAGCACCAGGAACTTCGTCTGGTTTACTGCCTGTTGGTAGGATCTGACATATAAATAATACAAAATACTCATCTGGTCTCACTTGCAGTTTAAACCACTGTTACACTACAGGCTTGATGCCCTCTCATGCTGACCCTAGCCAACATAATCAGTTTTTCAGGAATACCATGTTTTAAATTGCTTGAGGCTTCATGACCTCCTGTCACCCTCAGTCCAGAACCCCAGCTGAAGACAAAGCTCCAGCCCCAGTCAGGAGGCAGGGAGGGAGGAGAATCTGTCGGCCTTTAAGGCTACTAAGGTTCTTCCATGCAGAGGACACCTGTGCTGAGTACCAACACCTGGGTCTGAACCCTGCCTTCGATGGAATTGTGAGCAAGCTTGCTTGGTTGTACTGACTCATTTGTGAATTAGGAATGACAGCATACCTCACGTTTACCTGGAGTCGTGGGTTGAATTCTGTCCCTTTCAAATTCATTCCAATGTTGAACTCCCAATCTCTAGTACCTCAGAATGTGACCTTACTGTTGAAGAGTTGCTGCGGCCATAGATGAGGTTATACTGGAGTCGGCAGGATGGGCTCTAATCCGATATGGCTGGTGTCGCACACAGCAAGAGTGCCATGTGGAGATGAAGGCAGAGACTGGCGCTTCCACACACCAAGGAACGGCAACTGCCAGCAAAAGCACGAAGCCCCTTCTCCCTCACAGCCCTCGGAAGGCGCCAGCTCTGAGGACGGCGTCATCTTGGACTTGCAGCTCCCAGAACTGTGAGGGAATCCATTCCTGTTGTTCTAAGCCAGCCAGTGTTAAAACATACCTAGAAAACTGACACCAGCAGTCCAAGCTAACGTATACGTAAAGTGTGATGCCAGGGAAGGTTCTGTTCCGGAGCTTGGCTCACCCAGACAGGAGAACCCCTCACTGGGGGCTGAGCTCCACATTCTTAGGCAGTACAGACTGGAATTAGGGACTTAAGTGCCTTTTAAATGATGATGCCTCGGCTTCCAACCCACAGGCATCTGCCAAGCATCTTTAGGGTACAAAGACATCTTGGGGTATGTGTAACACAAATTAAAAGGGAAGCTTTGTTTTTGGTGTGCTCCAGATCCCTAGTAACTGGCCCCCAGGACAAATTAAAAGGTATGATGACTGTTTGTGAACTCAAGGAGCTCTGCAGACCCCTGCCTCAGACTCCAAGCCCAAAAGGGCTGTCTGATCATCTTGGATCTGCGGGGTGCTCCTGCCCACCTGATGGCCACAAACCTGGGGCTCAGACATGACATGTCTGGCTCAGACAGGAGGAGGGAGGTGTGCTCTCTATGCCTGGCCCTGCTCCCCACTGAGCCCATCATTCCCACACTGCCTTCCTGCTTCCTCCAGTCCAACACCCTCCAGCAGCTTCTGAGTGGAAGTGCAGGCACCCTGGAGCTTCAGCAGCAGATCCCAGCATTCAGACAGGGAAGGAAGGGAGGGAGGATACTGAGGTTTGGTTGGTGACCAGGGCGCTGCCCCGACAGGGGAGCCCAGTTTGACTCCCCGAGCTTGGGGACCATGGGGCAAGGGTCTCTAAGACATAGAACACCTGGCATGTCCAACCTGGTGGTGGCACATCCCTGTTTTTTGGCACAGCAGAAAGAGAACACTCACTTGCCCACTCTCATTACCTGGTGGAGGGAGAGTGCTACCATGGCACCACCTGAACGCTGGACACTACCTGAGAGCAAAGGACAGGAGGAGGGAGGTGTGCTCTCTATGCTGGGGAAGGTGCGTCCTGGGTGGGGGTGCTCATCAGTACCAATGTGAGTGGGCAGAACCGCCCAGGGTGAGGGCACACCAAGCGGGCAGGCTCAGTAGGAGTTCAGAGCCTGCTTGGAACGGCGCTTCATGTGCAGGCGCTCATGGCGCAGGAGGTCATAGTTCTGCGTGAAGCTCTTGACACAGTACCGACACTGAAAGGGTCGGGCTTTGTCCTTCAGGTGAAGGTGGCTGCGGTGCCGAGCCAGGTGGTCGTGCCGCTGGAAGGCCTTCCCACAGTCACAGCACTGGAAGCTCAGCTTGGCCTTGCCGTTTTCCAGCGGGTCGTTGGGACCCTTGTCCACGTCCTCGGACCCCTCCTGCTCTCTCTTCTCCACCGGCTGGAGTCTGTCCGGCTGCAGGTGTATCCGCCGGTGGGAGAGCAGGTGGGAGTTGAGGCGGAAGCTCTTCCCGCAGGCACCACACCGGTAAGGCTTCTGGGCCTCATGGCTCTCCAGGTGCCCGTCCAGGTCCTCGCTGTCACTGAACAGCTCCCCGCACACTGAGCACTCGTGCGGCTTCTCCCGCTCTCTGCGGCTCCGCAGGTGCCGGATGAAGTTGACCCTCCAGCGGAAGATTTTCCCACAGTTTGGACACACGTAGGACTTCTTGGAGCTCTGCATCTCGCCCCCGGCCTCAGCGCTGCTCCGGTGGGAGGTGGGGAGGCTGTGCTGCTTCTCTGTGGGGCTCGTCGGCTCTTCTGTGCGGCTCTTCCGCTCCTCTGTGCAGTACGGGCCGTGCTGGGAGTCCTCGTCCCCAGAGCTGGAGAGAACGATCTCGATGGTGACTTCTTGGTCCAGGCTGTTCTCTAGAGATCGCGGGTTGCCGCCAGCTACAGGAACGTAACATGCAGGTCAGTGGTGCTGTGCAGGCCACATCCCAGACCCTCTGACCCCGCGCTGGAAGCCTCAGCTTGGAGCTTGCAAACCCACATTTTTACAATGTTCCTCGGTGATGGGGGCGGCCTGGCCAGCCCTGCAGGGGCCACTGGTGTAGCCTGTGAGGAAATCTTCAGCATGGGCCACGCTGTGTCCAGAGCATGCTGGGTGCCTTTTTCCCTGCTCGCCCTCTTCCCCGCCATTTTCCCTTACCTCCCACACCCAACCCTTTTGTTCTCTAACCACCATGACCACCCCATCCCCCAAGCTCTTGGAGTCTCTATCTGTGTAAAGCCTGACCATTTACAGATCACTAATTTAACAAGGCATGGGGGAAAACTCTATCAGGATAGTGAGGACCTGGGAGACAGGAAGACTCTGCATCCTACACATGCAGTTCCAGGAAGGTGCCGCTGTCATGTGCTGGCACTTGCATGGTCCAGGGACTGTGCCAAACTTCTGACATGCACAGCCCTAGAAGCCCCTGGACACAAGCTGATGACCTACTGGTTGCCGCAACTGCACATAACTAAGATGATCTGTCCCAGGAAGGAGGGCTGAGGTGCTACTCAGCCTTGCTAGGCTGCTCAACAGTCCCAGACTGCCCAGGGTCCAGCTTCCCCCTCTCAGTAGCACCGCATTTTTGAGGCCACAGGTGGTGATGGGTAAACATGCTCTGGACTTCCTAACCTAGACTGAAGCTGGCTCAATGCATCCTGAGTCTGTGATGTCGAGAAGGGAGAACCACAGGGAGGGGCTGGGTGGGCAGTGCAGATCCCGGCCTAAGGTCCTGGCCTACAGAGCAGAGTCCATCATACAGGTGGCCTGTGTCCTCACTTCTGTGAAATGTGGAACACAAATCTAGAGGTCAGGGGTAGTGGTGCCAGGCCCTCCTAGATATTAGTAGGAATGTGGTTGGTCTGGGCTTCATGGCTGTGGGGAGGAGAGCCCTGGCGGGTCAGAGAAGCTCAGGACAGGAGAAGCTGGACAAACAGAAGCAGGGCAGAAGACACAGAGGCTAGGGAGAGCAGAGAGATGATGAACAGTAGTGGGAGCAGTGGGGCCATTTGTCAAATCAGTCACAAGGGAGTCAGGGGAATGTGAGTCTGGGAGTGGGTACTGAGTCTGCCAAGAACCCATGTACTATAGGAGGGAAAGCACCAGATGACAGAGACTGTGTGTGTGTATATGTTTTTAAAATTTTTTTTGTAGAGATGGGGTTGCACTATGGTGCCCAGATAACAGAGATTCTGTGTGTGTGTGTGTGTGTGTGTGTGTGTGTATTTTAAAAATTTTTCGTAGACATGGGGTTGTACTGTGTCGCCCAGGTTGGTTTCAAACTCCTGGGCTCAAGTGATCCACCCTCAGGCAATCCACCTGCCTCAGTCTCCCAAAGTGCTGGGACTACGGGTGTGAGCCATCACACCTAGCTCTGACCTGCTAGATTTAAGACTTGCTTGCGACCCATTTCCCTTAAATTTCTCTCTTCTAGAATGAGAATGGTCTATCATATGCTTTTCTCACAGTTGTATTTTGGAAGCAGAAAACATCTGGTTTCACAGGTTCATAGCTAGAAAGGATTTTGCCTCAGGATGAATCATACTTTGAGTCTCACCCACACCCAATTGAGAGGCTGATATTTAGATAATATTTTGGACTTACAGTTGATGCTGAAATAGATTGAGAATTTGGGAGCTGCTGGGATGAGGTGAATGGATTTTGCATGTGGGAAGGACATGAATTTTGAAGGTTCCAAGGGTGAGGTCTTACAGGATGAATTGTGTTCTCCCAATACTTCCCACTGAAGTCTTAACCCTAAGGACCTCAGAATGTGACTGTATTTGAAGACAGGCTATTTCAAGAAGTAATTAAGTCAACATGAGGACATACGGGAGGGTGGACTCCACACAGTCCAATGTGACTGGTGTTCTAATAAGAGAAGATCAAGACAGGACAAATACAGATCTTAGACCATGTGAGTACACAGCAAGGCGGTGGCCATCTCCTAGCCGAGGAGAGGCCTCAGAAGAAACCAGCTCTGCTGACACCTTCATCTTCTATTAGCTGCCTCCAAAATAGGGAGAAAATAAAATCCTGTTATTTGAGCCACCCAGTCTGTCGTACTTGTTACGAAAGGCCTAACAGAGTAATATAGCACATAGTAGACAACATCACCTCAAGTCAGCTAAAATGACCAAAATTCCACGCAGAATTTCTACAAAAGGGGAAATAACTCAAGGATAGTCTTATTATGTACTATCAACACAATATGAAGAAAATTCCTTGAAGACAGAATGTAGATGAGACTGCTAGAAGCCTGCCCAAAATACCAGAGGATAAGCACCACCAAAGAGTTCTCAGTTCAGCAATAAAAACAAAAGGGTGTGTGTGTGTGTGTGTGTGTGTAAGATGGTGGTGGGTGGGCGTAGGGTGTGGTGGCCCCACAGGGTCGTGGGGTGTCTCTTATGCTGTGTTGAGGTGCAGGATCCAAGAGGTGAAGAGACAGGACACTGAAGAACTGGTGAAGAGCATCTGGACTCGGGGGGGTCATGCCACCTGTAAGCACAGATCAGTGGTAGCCCCCAAATGCCCCAGAGAATCTGTATTTATTAGGTACAAGCAGGGGCAGGGTCATGAGTGACATCATCATCTATAGGCTTAGTAATACGGCATATATAATCATAATCACGTGAGTCACAAGCGAGGGGACCACCCCATTATGTCACCTGGACAGAGAGGTGGGCCGTGTGCGGCAGGGGACCAAGCCGTGCACAGTAGTAGAGGGTCATGTACAGAAAAGCGGTCCACCCCCATTAGGTCACCAAGGCAAGGAGGTGGGCTGTGTGCAACAGGTGTTGTGTACAATACTTCTTATCTAGGGGCTGGAGACTTCAAAGGGTTTCTAACAGAAAGATACTGTAAGCTTAATGCAGTGGGAGCTGACAGACTTGTGCTCTTAAGATATTTATGGGAGGATTCTTTGAGCTAGCACAGAAGTGAGAAAAGACTGATGGGGTGTGCAGCTGCTGTGACTGGTCATACCAGAGGGGTTCTTCTCCCTCAGTTATTTGAGGGATCTCAGGCCTGAGGCCTACTTTCCACAGAAACTGGATGCAAGGTACCACAACTCCTTTATCAGGAGGAGAGGCTCCTGCTCCAAGCCTGCCATACAGCGTGTGCCCTTTCAGGCAGGGACGCCACCGCTTGGGTCTTTGGTTCTCGTCCTGGTCTGGCTGTTTTCCCATGTGCTGCTTCTGTTCTGTGACTGCTCTAGGCATTCCTCCTACTACAAACTACTATATGGTTATATAGAAGGATTCTATAAATCAGCACTAAATGTGTCCGTACAGCTCCAACTACAATACCTATATGATTATATAGAAAGATTATATAGAACTAAGTATGCTAGATATAAGTATTAAGTATGATTATATAAGCTAGATATATGTAAGTAGTAAGTTACACTTCAAGCACTAATTCTATAAACTAATATATGATTATATATGAAGGATTACATAAAGGAAACAGCTGAGCAACGACACTATCAACTAAGATATTCTTCAGGCACTACTTGTGCCTGGGGTCTGGATAGTTCTCCTTCCTCGGTGCACAGGGGGGTGTTACCCACAGGTGGGGGTGTTGTCCCTGAATTAGCTATCAGGATAAGGTTAGGGAAGACAGAAAAGAGCTATTAGACCAGGCGCAGTCGCTCATGCCTATAATCCCAGCACTGTGCGAGGTCGAGGTGGGTGGATCACTTGAAGTCAGGAGTTTCAGACCAGCCTGGCCAACATGGTGGAACCCTGTCTTTACTAAAAACACAAAAATTAGCCAGACATGGTGGCACACGCCTATAATCCCAGCTACTCAGGAGGCTGAGGTAGGAGAATTGCTTGAACCCAGGAAGTGGAGGTCACAGTGAGCCAACATGGCGCCACTGTACTCCAGCCTGAGTGACAAAACGAGACTCTGTCTGAAAAAAAAAAAAAGAGCTATTGGTCTAAGGGCCAATATATGCATTAAACCATTTAATCCTTCACAATAACTCTACAAGGAGGCTATAACTGTTATCTCTGTTTTACGAATCAAAAGTTTAAGACAGAGAAGTGAAATTGCCCAAGGTTTCAGTAGAATTGAGCCCAACGGATATGGGGACCAGGGCTTGTGGCAAGCAAATGGCCAGGCTGCTGCAAATGTTCGTTGTGGGCAGAGTGGCAGAGGCATCCAGCATGCAGGTAAGTGGCAGAGGCATCCAGCAAGCAGGTAAGTCCGTGACTGACACCTCAACAAGGATGCTCTGCAGGCTGGGAATGAATGACTTCCTGTGAGCTGAGGGGGTTAAGGGGAAAAGCAGGGGAGGCTAGGAAGCTAGATGTGAAAACCAAAATGATAAAGACATTATTAAAAACGATTACACATTCTTGTAAAGTTAGAATGGAGAAGCTTTCTCAAGCAAGACATAAAACCAAAAAGATGACAATTAAGCTTATCTACATTTAAAAACTGTAAGAAAACATTTAAGCCAGGCATGATGGCAAAAGCCAACAGTCTCCCCAGCTACTTGGGAAGCCAAAGCAGGAAGACTGCTTGAGCCCAAGAGTTCGAGACCAGCCTGGGCAACATAAAGAGACCCCATCTTGAAAAGAACAAAACATTTATATGTTGCAAGACACATAAAGTTTAGGGAAACGGAAGGAACTCTGCATAAATACAGCAGAGGCAAGGGATTCAGACCCATTATTTTCAGTGTCTAAGAATCCACAGAAAAAGCAAACTGTGGTTTAGTAATGTGGAGTAAAAGGCATGGGTCTGCAGCCTGCCAGCCTGAGTTCAAATCTATTCAGGAGTCTCACTCCGTCACCCACCCTGGAGTGCAGTGATGTGATCTCAGCTCTTGGCTCACTGCAACCTCCGACTTCTAGGTTCAAGAAATTCTCCCTGCCTCAGCCTCCTGAGAAGCTGGGATTATAGGCGCCCACCACCACACCTGGCTAACTTTTGTATTTTTTAGTAGAGCTGAGATTTCGGCATGTTGGCTAGGCTGGTCTTGAACTCCTGACGTCAGGCAAGCTGCTCGCCTAAGCCTCCCAATGTGCTGGCATTACAGGCGTGAACCACCACGCCCAGCCATTTGTCTTTGTTTTTTTTGAGACAGAGTCACTCTGTCGCTGAGGCTGGAGTGCAGTGCTATGATCTCTGCAGCCTTGACCTCTCGGATTCAAGTGATTCTCTTGCCTGAGACTCCTCAGTAGCTGGGACTACAGGTGTGTGCCACCATGTCTGGCTAATTTTTGTATTTTTGGTAGAGACAGGTTTTGCCATGTTGGCCAGGGTGGTCTCAAACTCCTAACCTCAGGTGATCTGCCCACATCGGCCTCCCTAAGTGCTGGGATTATAGGCATGAGCCACTGTGCCAGCCTGAGTTCAAATCTTCACTCTGCCACCTACAGCTTGTGAGCACTGGACTCTGGGCAAATGACTTCTCGGGTGCCCCAGCTTCAATACAGAGACATGATGGCACCCATCTCAGAAGGTGCTGTGAAGATGCAATGCATGTAATCATGTAAATCACTGAATCCTGGTGCAATGTTTGGAACATTAAAAAAAAAAGTGTGAAAATAAACGAATAAGGATAAATGAATACTAACTAGGCAATTCACAGAGAGAACACAATTAACAAGAGACATTCCTCCTCAGTGGCGGATGCAGCAGCATTGTCTGATTGGCACAGACTGAACATGTGGGAGTGCCCTGCATGAGCATGGATATAGAGAAGCAGGGCTGTCACCAGCTATCTGGGCATCAGCTGGTGGGAAAAGCTTTTTAGGAAGGCGAGCTGGCTGGAGCTAAAACAGTGCCTACTCTTTGAAATCCATCATCTCTCCCCCTTCTCAGGAGCAGCCCTTTGTTTCTGGCTGTTTCAGAGCAGTCTGTGTCAGTGTCCAGCAAGAGAAGAATGGTGTTGAAAACTCCTATGTCTAAATGAACACCCATCCACCTTCTAAAAGTATGCTAATGGGGCTGAGAGACATGTTATGGGCAGAAAGCAGCTGGAGAAGATTCAAAGTGCATCACGAACTTTGCAGATTCAAAGTGCATCCAGCTTGCACCTGAACTCCACGTGGGCCCCACATGAACGCATCACCCTTGGCATGCAGAGGTGGGCTACTTGGAAAACCAGGAGTGGGCACCAATGCTTGTGGAGCAGGATCTCATCCTTTCAGATCTCCCACACTAGAAAATCCCCTTTGTCCACCCATGAAAGGGGGCCAAGCACAAGATGCATGGAGCTGGGTCGAAATGGCACAAATCTTGCCTTCAAAAGCATCACAGGTAGAACAGCTAATGTGTGTGAGCCAGTCTCCATCTCTGCAGAAAACTACAATGACACATGGGTTCAAGTAAGAATCAGAGACTTGGGTTTGGTTTTTAGAAGAACCTATGAGCCGGGCGCCTGTAATCCCAGCACTTTGGGAGGCTGAGGCGGGTGGATCACGAGGTCAGGAGTTCAAACAAGCCTGACCAGCACAGTGAAACCCCCCGTCTCTACTAAAAAGAAACAAAAAAATTAGCCAGGCATGGTAGCACATGCCTGTAAGTCAAGCTACTTGGGAGGCTGAGGCAGGAGAACTGCTTAAACCAGGGAGGCGGAGGTTGCAGTGAGCTGAGATAGCACCACTGCACTCCAGCTTGGGTGACAGAGTAAGACTGTGTGTCAAAAAAAAAAAAAAAAAAGAAAGAAAGAAAGAAAGAAAGACGGCAGCATTATAGCCTCTGCTTCTGGAGGTGGTGACCTTTACCAAGACGACTCAGTCTACACTGTGGCTATTTCTCAGAAAGCAGAAATGGAACATACACTTTCCAGGAGTCCCGTGAAGCTTCAGGACACCAGAAACCAGCTCTTTAATCCCAATTCCAAGGTTCTGTGCCAGGATGCTGGCCATCAGTGCTGAGAAGAAAAACACTCACCACATCACCAACAGCACTACAGCAGCACCCTGCTTTGACACACCCTCCCCAGCCCTGGGAAAGGCAAGGAGGGTGAGCCTGGGATTGAAAGTGAGCTGGGGAACACCCCCAGCAAAACAGAATCAGAACAAGCATCTCAGAACACCACAGCAGCGGTCAGTGGGGATCCTGAAGAGTTCAATTCCTAACTGCTCCATGCCCTCGCCACCACTGACATTTACACCACACACGCCACACCACACCCACACACCACGTATGTGCATGCACACACACATGCACTCAACACAACCATCCCCCATGCCACATATGCACATCTACATGCCACACACCACAGACACACATGTGCACACAGAGACACACAGGCCACCCCATACCTCCGTGACCCTTCTTTACCTGGGCAGGTGCTTTGAGGTACTGCCATCTGTGGGCAGCCCTGGAACTCTGGCACCTGCAGCTCATCACGTTTTCTTCTTTCTTCTACCTGGAATGGCTGGAGACCTGGAGAGTCTTTCCAGAGGAGGAAATAGAAAAATTGATTTGTCTGGCACCTACAGCACTAAGAGGGTGCTATCTGAATAGAGGGCAGGCTATGAGGGTGGCCCTGGGCTCCCTCCTGGGAACTGGCAGTGGGTGGACACTCAGTAAGTGTTTGCTGAGTGAATGAACTTGAAGGCAAAATGGGCCAACTCCACGAACATGAGCTCTGAAGCTAGACAGAATCTATGCAGATCTGGGTTCTACTTCATCTACTCTGTGGCCAGAAACAAGTACCTCCCCCAGCCCACATTTATTTCCACTTTCTGCGGTGGGTTTTCTACAGTTATCACAACAGTCTCCTGCACACTCCGCACAGCCTGCGCAAACAGCTTATGCAGAGCCTGCGGGCTTGACATGGGACAGGACTACCCATCTGTGCCACGCCAAGGCTCTGAACGCTTGTTCCAGGTGGGGATGGTGCATCAAAACCCTGTCCGCTTCAGCCAGCTCCAGGTCCCAAAGGGAAGGGGGTGTAGGGCTGCTGATGATTCTGTACAAAGCTATTTTCTCCTGAAGGAATAGATGCTTCGAAGCACCATGGTATAAAGGCCACTGGTGCACGTGTTGGTGACACAGCCTGAAGGAGGGCTGGAAAATGCTGCTGACCCCCAGCACCTCCCCACACCTCAGTGTCCTCACAGCACCCCTGTGCCAGGGAGAGGGAAGACTGAACAGGTGAGGCGTTTGAAAGGGCTGCGCTCAGTGCCCAGGTGAGAGGAGACACTTCCTCTGCAACCAGGCTTGTTATGAATCTCTGACCTCACTCCTGGAGGGGCCACTGTATTATCAGCACAAACCAGATGTTACTTATAGGCAGAGGAGAAAGGCATTCCTATTATTCCCCAGCTCGTGGCAGAGGGAGTACAATCCCAACGCCTGGCAAAGTTAAGATCCCCCATTCTTTCTATGAAAAGTCAGAGACAAGGCAAGACATGCAAGACCCAGACAGAGTCTGGGGAAATCGAGAAGGCAATCTGGGGCTGCAGAGAAGCCAGGGAGTGGGCTCACCTCTGCTGCCAGCAACACTTAACCCTCCTCTGTTCTCTTAGTTCTGGAATCATTACTCACCCAAGTAAGAGACCTGGGGCACTTCTTTCCCCTGGAGATCCTGCAACTCTGGGACGCGTGGCTCATTCTCCTCTCCCTGGGAGAGATCTGGCTGGGCAGCTAGGTCGTCTGTTCAAAGAAAAACGCAGGGTGCATGTTTGTTAGTAATCTGCTCCTACAGCAACCAGGACTGGTCCAGAAGAGAGAAGGTGGAGGGATGCCCAACGGGCGTGGCACCATCAGGGTGAGAAGTGAAAAGGCTAGAGCAGGCAGCGCAGGGGCAGTGGGGGGAACACTCGGTGGGGAGAGCTATGGGCTTGGGGTGTCTCTCTGAGGCTTGTCAGGTGTAAAGCAGACATAAAGGGACAAAAGGGTAAGAGCAATGGAAGAAAAATGAACATACAGCACACGTTCTATTTGGTTCTGTGACAAATAGCCTGGTAAGCCTGATGTGGTGAGATGGCAGGTGACAGTCAGCCAGACAAACTGTCTATAGGGCTGCTCTGTGCAAATGACCTCCCATCAAGGCTGGGGGTGAACAGAGAGATCTGATGCAACCCCCGCTTCCCTGACCTTATGGGAGGAAGTTGACTCTTACCCAAAGTGAGAACCTCCCTGCCCAGTTCCCTGGTCTTGAGGTATTGGGGGAAGTTATGTCTTACTTGGAGGCATTGAGACCCCGCAATCCTCCCCAATGATGAACTCTCCGTAGAAGCCAGTCTGGGCAGGATCTAGAAGGGACCAATCCTCTTCAGAGAAGCATAGAATCATGTCCTTGAATGGAGAAACCCGGTTCTGAAACCACAGTAGAACAGGGATGCCTCAGTCCAGGGACAAGCTGGTGTCTTAGTCTTAGTCCATTCAAGCTGTGATAACAAAATACCATAGGACGGGCAGCTTATACAAAACAGAAATCTGTTTCTCACAGTTCTGGAGGCTGGAAATCCAAGATCAAGGCACCAGAAGGTTGGATGTCTGGTGAGGGCCTACTTCTTGGTTCAAAGACAGGCATCTTTTGTGTCCTCCCATGATGGAAAGGGCAAGGGAGTTCTCTGGGGCCTCTTTTATGAGAGCCCTAAACCCATTTATGAGGGCTTTGCCCTTTCACCTGATCATCTCCCCAAAAGGCTCCATTTCCTAATACCATCATCTGGGGATTACAATTTAAACACAAATTTTGGGGAGATATAAACACTCAAACCATAGTATTCTGCCCCTGGTTCCCCCTAGATTCATATCCTTTTGACATGCAAAACAAACTCATTGCATCCCAATAACCCCCAAAGTCTTAATTCATTCCAGCATCAACTCAAAAGTCCGAAGTTCAACGTCTCACCTAAATAACATCTAAATCAGTTATGGGTGAGACTCAAGGCACAATTCTACCTGAGACAAATTTCTCTCCAGTTGTGAACCTGTGAAATCAAACAAGTTACGTGCCTTCAAAATGTAGTGGTGAGGCTGGGCACAGTGGCTCACATCTGTAATTCCAGCACTTTCGGAGGCCAAGGGCAGGCAGATCACCTGGGGTCAGGAGTTTGAGACCAGCCTGACCAAGATGGTGAAACCTCATCTCTACGAAAAATACAAAAATTAGCCAGGCATGGTGGTGGATGCCTGTAATCCCAGCTACTGTAGGAGAATCACTTGAACCCCAGGGACCAGAGGTTGCAATGAGCTGAGATTGCACCACTGCACTTTAGCCTGGGCAACAGACCGAGACTCTGTCTCAAAAAAAAAAAAAGGTGAGGATTTCAAATCTCCTCTTTTCTTTTGGAAAAGAAAAGAGGTGATTCTGCCTTACCAGAATCACCCATAATAGTCTGTTCATGGGCAGGGCACAATGGCTCATGCCTGTAATCCCAGCACTCTGGGAGGCCAAGGCTGGCGGATCACCTGAGGTCAGGAGTTTGAGGCCAGCGTAGCTAACCTGGCAAAACTCGGTCTCTACTAAAAATACAGAAATTAGCCAGTATGGTGGCACATGATTGTAATTCCAGCTACTCAGGAGGTGGAAGCAGGAGACTCACTTGAGCCCAGGAGGCAGAGGCTACAGTGAACAGAGATTGCGTCACTGCATTCTAGCCTGGGCGACAGAACAGGACTCCATCTCAAAAATAAATAAATAAATAAATAGTCTGTTCAAGGCAAAACAGGGTTTTCTAGCCTGCACTTCAAAACCCTTCCAGCCTCTACCCATTACCTAATTTCCAAGCTTCTTCAACACTGTAGGTATTTGTTAGAGTAGCACCCCAAATTATTGGTGCCAATTTTCTGTCTTAATCAATTTGGGCTGCTATAACTGAATAATGCAGACTGGAGACTTGTAAACAACAAATGTATGTCTTACAGTTCTGGAGGCCAGGAAGTCCCCAGCTGATACCAGCATGGTCAGGTTCTTGTGAGGGCCCACTTTCTCGCTCCACAGATGGCCATCATTTCATTGTGTTCTCACATGGTGGAAGGGGCAGGGCCGCTCTCTGAGGCCTCCTTGATAAAGGCACCAATCCATTTATGAGGGATTTGCCCTTCTAACCTGATCATCTCCCCAGTGTCCTACCTCTTAATGCCAGCAGCTTAGGGGCTAGCATTTCAACGTGAAATTTGTGGAGAAGAGAACATAAAAACATTCAGACCACAGCACTAGGGGAGTGGGGGATGGAAGGTGGGGCTGAAGGGAGAGCCCACAGCAACGTGTACAGACAGAAGGAGGAGAAAGGAGACAGACTACCCCAGGTGCAGGCTCCAAGGCACACACTGCTTTGTAATTTCTGCTCTTGGATCCACCTCACCCCTATCTTGTTAGGCAGAATCCAAATGGCAGCTGCCTCGCTGGGTGGCCACAGATGTGGAAAAACAGGCCTTCCTACTCAGTGCTGGGGCAGCTGCACATCCACTCCCGTGGTGGGCTGCTGGGCAATGTCCATGAAGCTACCAGCATGCTCAACCTTCAATGCAGAGATTCTAAAGTTTATTTTGCACATGTGCAACATTAAGTCTATAAAAGCTGCTTCACCGCAGCATGGATACAATAAACACTGAAAACCTTTACACACACCAACAAGATAGCTGATTCAGATGGTTTTCCTGGGTGTTGGGGCCAGGCACCTACAACAGGGCTGGGAAGGAATGATTTTCTTTTTTTCTTTTGAGACATGCTCTTGCTCTGTCGCTCAGGCTGAAGTGCAGTGGTACAATCTTGGGTCACTGCAACCTCTGTTTTCCAAGTTCAAACGATTTTTGTGCCTCAGTCCCCTGAGTAGCTGAGACTACAAGCATTCACCACCATGATCAGCTACTTTTTTTTTTGTATTTTTATTAGAGATAGGGATTCACCATGTTGGCAGGCTGGTTGGGAGCTCCTGAGCTCAAGTGTTTCAACCACCTCCACCTCCCAAAGTGTTGGGATTACAGGTGTGAGCCTCCACACTCAGCCTTGACTAGTCTTTTTTTTTTTTTTTAAAAAAAGCAAAAACATAGAGGGCAGAGGGCATTTAAAGTAATCAATTTGGTGAAAAGTAAAAGAATGTTAATATAAAAAATAAACACCTCTGGAATCATTATACATAAATTGCACACATGTGTCCCAGTGATCAGAGCTGACATGAGCCACGCAGGACACGCCATCTTCAATGCCTCTATATGTGCTGCACTGGGGAGTGCACAAGCCAGTGTGGTTCTCCTGCAGAATGTGCACCTGAGTGTCACTGTGAGTCAAACCCCACCTGAGGGAAGGAAGGTACATCACCCACCACGACATCCTACTCTTCCGAACGATCCACAGCATGACAAACACTGAGAACCCAAGGAGGAAGTGTTAGAGATGGGAAACGAAATGAGAAGCAACACTGCTGGATCATGGCTGTTTCAATGTTAAATTTCTACTATGTGAGACTTGTATTGTGGCTATTTAAGAGACTCCTTGTGTTTAGGAAATATGCTCCTTTGGCCTGAATAAGGGGGCACAAATGTCTGCATCTAACTGAAGATGTGGGGACAAACAAAATGAGAAGATGGGGGAGGTAAGAAAGAGAAGGAGAGAAGGCCAGGCACAGCGGCTCACACCTGTAATCCCAGCACTTTGGGAGGCCGAGGCGGGTGGATCACGAGGTCAAGAGATCGAGACCATCCTGAGCAACATGGTGAAATCCCATCTCTACTAAAAATGCAAAAAATTAGCCGGACATGGTGGCACATGCCTGTAATCCCAGCTACATGGAAGGCTGAGACAGGAGGCAGAGGTTGCAGTGAGCTGAGAATGTGCCATTGCACTCCAGCCTGGGCAACAAGAGTGAAACTCCATCTCAAAAAAAAAAAAAAAAAGAAGGGAATGGGGGAAAGTGAAGTAAAGGGTATTTGGAAGTCTCTGTACTATTCTTGCTATCTTCCCTAACTTTAAAATTAATTCCAAACAAAAAGTTTAAAATAAAAATAAAGAGAATACTTCAAAAATTCTAACTCTGAATCAGGGTTTTGGAACAAGGACTCTTGCCTGTACATATGAATCACCCAGGCATCTTGGTAAAAATTCTGACTCAGTAGGTCCAGGGGTGGAGCCTTGGTCAGAAGCTGTATCTGAATGAGCCCCTAAGTGGATCTGCTGCTAGGAAGAGGTCAGTGTGAAAAAGCCTGTCTTCCCAGGCTGTTCTGCGGCATGCAAAAGAGGCCTCAAGAAGCCACGGGACTTCCTTACAAGGACTTGTGGAAGACAACTTGATATTTGTTCTTAAATGGGGAAAAAAATGGTAATTGTCACGGTTGACAAAAATATGAAAGAATCCAGGCCAGGGGCGGTGGCTCAAGCCTGTCATCCCAGCACTTTGGGAGGCCGAGGTGGGTGGATCACGAGGTCAAGAGATCGAGATCATCCTGGTTAACATGGTGAAACCCCGTCTTTACTAAAAATACAAACAAATTAGCTGGGCATGGTGGCACGCGCCTGTAATCCCAGCGACTCAGGATGCTGAGGCAGGAGAACTGCCTGAATCCAGGAGGCAGAGGTTGCGGTGAGCCGAGATCGCGCCATTGCACTCCAGCCTGGGTAACAAGAGTGAAACTCTGTCTAAAAAAAAAAAAAAAGAATCCAGCACTCTGACAAGACTTCGGGGAAGGGGTGTGTGTGTGTGCAGTGGGGGTTCCGAGGGAAAAACTCAGACTGGACATTAACAGCAGATTTGGCTTTTTTTTGAGCCTTGCTTAGGTGTTTGAGAATCTACTTGCTGTAGTTTGAATGTGTCCCTCAAAGTTCGTGTGTTGGAAACTTAATCCCCAATGTGGCAGTATTGAAAGGTGTGGGCTTTAAGAGGCGATTAATGGGTTATCATGGGAGTGGAACTGGTGGCTTTGTAAGAGGGGGAAGAGAGACTCGAGTAAGCATGTTGAGATACTCAGCCCCCTTGCCATGTGATGCCCTGCACCCACCTCAGGACACCACAGAGCCCCCACCAACACAAAGGCTCTCACTGGATGGAGCCCATCCACCTGAATCTTCTCAGCTTCTGTAACTACGAGAAGTAAATTTATTGTCTTTATAAAGTACTGTTTCAGGTGTTCTGTTATAAGCAGCGGAACACTGACAACACAGTCATGGTATCACAGAAGCAAACCCAAGTCCAGCGGCCAGGTGGGTAGAGAGACAATACTCCAGTCAGCAACAGAATCCGACAGGCCTTTTTTGCAGGATGCCCAGAGAGCTTTTAGAACCATATGGACAAATGCTTCCATGTTGGGGAGAAGCATAAAAACACGACATTGATCTACAGCAGGATCCTAATGAGGCACACAAAATGGCAGGG